GTATGTCCGATGCGGATGACAAGGACAACGTAACCCCAGCCGTAACCATAGCAGCCTAGCTATATTAATGTGGCATCCTTTGACTGCGCACAACACACACCCACACACACCCACGACTTGACTCTTATCATAAACAGCCAGCAGGTGGTTGCCTGCATCCAATGAGTTTCCCTTCCACCGCGTACCTGGACTTCTCAGTACTGCCAGCCAATTTAAATGAAACTGTCAACAAGCAGGGTAAAGCTACAGTGAAGGCTCGCAGCAGATGATTCTGTTTGAGACAGGAGCTTTGCGCACAAACTATTGTTAAACTAATAAATACTAATATAATAAATTCTACAATATAACTGCTAAATGCCACCTTTTTAATAGTATACTAAAGTTTCCATAGATAAACAAATGCAAAATATTTAAATATAAATATATGTATATAAATATATATATATACATTTATATATATTCATACATTTCATAGGAATAAATACAACTTATTTAACGAGTAAAAATTAAAAAAAAACTAAATACAGTTTTTATTAATTAAGTTTCTTTTTGAAAAATTATAAATTTCAATATGTTGTATAATTTAAGAGTTAAAACCATGAAAAGGCACAATTTTCTCTTCAATAAAGTCTTCGTAAAGTAAAGCTAAATTAAACTTTAATATAAATAATTAATATAAATATAACAAACATGTAATGTCGGCATTTTAAATACTTTTTGGTGCCAACTTTATATAAGGACATTGACTTGGTTTGACACCAGATTTTCCATAAGTATCTAAACAATTAGTTTAAGTCATGAGCTGAATGTGATGATTCCTGATCTCTGCACAGTTTTAACACCTGTGAGTGCCTTATAAATATATTGGTACTACAATCTATAAATTATAGTCACATTGCCATAAGACATGAAATGGAAAAGTTTTCTTTAGTATTTTTTCATGACCGCAAAAGTTTGAAGTTGCTGCCAAGTTGCTGTAGGAAAAGAAAAACAAAACCTTTGGACCCTGACTTAATTTTGTTATTTCTTTTGTTATTTACAAATGAATGCTTAAATCATTAACTGAGTTCTTAGATGTAGAAAACTTTGTTCATTATTATATAAAATATTATATTTTATAAATATTATATTTTTATCTAATATATTATGTATATATATTTCGTTGATATTTTGACAAATCTTAAAAGAAATCCAAGAATTCATACAAATAATAAAAGTTACTTAAGCGAATTCACGCAGAAAATTTACCTAACTCAATGAGAGTTTTTTTCCCAAAGGGCATTTAGCTTTCAGGTCGGCCAGGCAGAGATATATAAATTTTTAAATTGAAATTCTGTTCTTTTATTTCAAGCTTGCACTGTGTGTTGTGGCAGAGGCAGAAGCGAATTTCAGGTGAAGCTGTGCCATTGTTAGTCAGGTGCAAATGTCATGCGAGCGGGAATTGCGATGTTGCGGTTGTTGTTACAACTTGCCACAAGGCAAGTTGCACATTGTCCATTGCCAGTTGCCAGTTGCCAGTTTCTAGTTTGTTGAGGCTGTTTGTTAAGGCTGCCAAAGTCATAATTCAGTAGCTGACATTTATGTGGCGCTCAATTTTGGAAGCCAGCAGTTGCCGCTGTTGACATTTGCGGCAGGGCTTTGTCGTTGCCACACACAGATGCGATGGCATTTAATGGCACTTGACAGAAAGACACCAAACACCATCTGACCTTATGCCATTTGGGCAGCTGACTGTAACACGAGCTGCCCAATTTCCAGCTCCAATTGAATGCGACTTGGCGCTGCCAGCAAATTGGCGCTGCTTTTGGCCAATTCGAATACATAATTAAAAGCAAATTGATAGACGTTTCGGTAATTTTGTCTACAAAATACATGTGATCCCCCTGTTAGATGAGCCCTGCGAGAGCCAAAGCAATTTAACTGTCACTTTAAGAAGTTTTCACAAGTAGCACATAACAGTATATACTATATATGTATATATAGTATATAAATATACTTGGGCATTCATAGAAGAAAACTTTTCAATTTAATCAGCCCAAATTTAATTGGCATAAATGCGACAGTCGCTGTCATGAACTTGAACCCAACTCAGTGCGGAAAAACTCTTGTGAGCCACATTAAATATTAATAATTTCAAATTTTATGACCAGATCCGGTTGCCCGGATCCCAACTGTTTCAAGTGCATCCAACAAGTTTGCTAACTACAAATGACAAATTGTTGAATTGAATATGCTGAGCGCATACATTTTACATAGCCAGCCGATTTACCTTGAGCGCTGTAAACATAAGCGCCATAAATACCCGCCTGACAGTTGCATCTAAACCGGTTCAAATAGCTACCTAAAAGCATAAAACAAAAGACGTATGCTTGCGAGCGAGACTTAGAGATACCCTAGATTCTTCCTAATTTTTCGTAATTCAAAGTTTCCAAAACGAAATTTTATTCCGAAAAAAAAAAAAAATTTCTAAGATTCTGTCTGACTTTGTAAACCTAATATATTTATTTGAAAATTACGTTATTCAAAACTATATCAGATATTATAATCAACTACGATATTATATTCAATTTAAAAATACGATATTCAGTTCAAAAATACGATATTCAAATATATATACGATATATATTCAATTAAAAATTACGATTTTGAAAACTATATATATTATATTCAATTTATAAGCCCGATGTTAAAAATTATATACGATATTCAAAACTGTATACGATATACATTCAATACAAAATTATTATATTCAAAAATATATAAGATATATTAAATTCCGAATGATATACAAAAGTATATACGATATTTTGTTTAATTCTCAATTACGATATTCACAACATATACAAAATATTGTTCATTACAAAATTTATACGATATATTCTTGTAACAATTATCTTTAATTCTTTAATCGTATATAATTCGAATTTCGTAAATTAATATAATAAAATATATTATATCGTATATCGCTTCAAAATCATTTGAATATCGTAAATGAATACAATATAATAAAATATTGTAACTTTTATCAATGCTATTTGATATCCGAGAAGAGAATCGTCAATGTAAATGGAGGCGTTTACAATTTTGTCACTATGTATATGTATAGGATAATACAAATTCAAATGTATTTCTGCAATCTTTTCTCTCCTTACATAGTTCCGTCTTACTGCTTCAGGCAGTACACACATAGGTAAGTTGATTCAGTTGTCATACATTAAATATAGACTCTAAGCTCCTATAGCGATAAGAAAGCGCTTTTTATGCTCAAAATGTAGCTGCTTATCATGATATATTAATAACCTGCTTTAGTACTGGCGTCGCCTGGCAGACTCAGTATTTACTCGCTCAAGTCGAGCATACCCCGTTTCGCACTCTTGACGCGTACAGAGCATTGAGAGATGCGCAAGATAAAAACTCAGCTGCCAACTTTGGCAAAAGCTGAAGCTAATTACACAACAAATTCGTGATGGAGCTGAAGTGGGAATTGAAAATGGAAGTGGAAGTGCAAGTGGAGACATACTTGCCAGGAAGTGGTTTTCGCTAGACTCGAATTGGAGTGGGGCAGGTAGCCAGAGTGGGGCAACAATCAGGGCAGCACTTTCATTTCATTTGCTTTCATTTCATTTCATTTGATTTCATTTGCAGCCCGCTTTGGCCTTTGGGCTGCTTTCGATTTCCTCTAGTCAAAAGATGAACTCAACATTTAAGTGAGCCCAAAATTAAGTACATAAAAATATAACTGAACGAATAACAATTCTAAACTGAAGTGCTTAACAATTTGTTTGCAATTCACGAGTTTCACAAGCAAATTTATTTACCTAACAGGTAGAAAATTGAAGACTCTGCTACCAATAATTACAGCTGAGCATCAGTTGACTTCTACGTCAACTCCCTTGAGACTGGGTGCATTAAACCTGAATCTCAATTATTAAAATTAATAAATTTCAACAAATCGTCGTTTAATTGACGCCATTTATACTCATATCACTGGGTGGATATTTATAAATAAATATGTGCATACCACATATTTATATATATAGAAGTATAATGAACATGAGTTAGACATTCTAAAGCGACGCTAATAAAATGACGAGATTCTAATTGGATTCGTATAAGCGAAAGCAGCGTGAAATGTGAATTATGTGATAGTTGGCACTTTCCTATAATGGCACTGCTTAAATTCATTAATTTTTCTAGTGAATTTACAACTTCAATATAAATCTAAAAATATTCTTTTAAGTCCTATAGAGAATACAGTTATTGTTAATCCAATCAGAAATGAGCGCTTCGTTTAAAGTTCTAATTCAAAATTTTGAAATAGTTGGCAACGCTGCATGTCTGTTGCACTGACTTGTTCCAGTTCTGGTTCCAATTCCAGCCAGCTCTTATTTAGGGGTTGATTTCCAGTGAACACGGAACATAAACACAACCGAAGTACGGCGCAAAGCAACAAAAAGAAGAAAACATATGAAAACAAACGCAGGCAATTGACTACGTGACTGGGCGGCTGCCTTCAATTGCCGCTTCGATTCCCTTTTGCCTCTCAGCAGCCGACACACAATTTGTCGATTTGAGATTCTGTACTTATCGCATAACTGGGAGCATTTGACGCGTGTGACGGTCAGCGGCAGAAGCAGCGGCAGTGGCATTATTTCAATTGCCTCCACACATGTGGGCAACATCAACAGCAACAACGATAGAAACGGAGATAGCGCAATTTAACGACAATATTTAAATGCATATGTAAAATGACAAAACTAACTTTAGACATGAGGAACTCATATGTTTCTCAGCTGTGACGTAGGTCAACGAAACGAAACTCTGGAAATTTCTTTCTAATCAAAATACAATTCAATTTCGAGTTGACCCACATTTGATGAAGCGAGAGAAAAGAGGGAGACAAGACGCTTATCAGGGCAGGACGGAAACTGGACGCCGACAAAATGATCTTCAATAGAACACGTCAGCCATTCACCATTCACCCGCCCGCTCGCACTTACCCTGTCTATGATTTCTGATCTCCTGGGAACTTGTTGCCCTTAAACGATGTGCCAGCCGCTGTTGCTACGGTATACGAACCAGAACGCGTAGGCGTCGCTTCACTCGTTCTTTCCTCTGTTATTTTACTTAGCGTTGTTTTTTAGCCTTTTGTTTATAGCTAATCAGGGTTCTTTAACGCACTCACGAACTGCACTCGAATGGAACTTAAGAATTCGTTTTATACTACAATTTCCTGTTACAATAGTTGTAGCTAGGAACTAAACAAAATGCACGCGCACACACAAGCGGACAGACATACATATGTATAATTTTAAGTTATTTATTTAGACAGTCCTGGTTTTTATTTGTTTTTGCCTTTGTTTTCTATTCGCTTCTGGCTGGTGTGTGGACTCTGTTTACAATGCGTCCGCGCGCTCAGCACCACAGAATGGAACTGAAAGCGATATTATAGCCGCTTTAGCCACATGTGGATACTTTCCATGAGCAAGAGCTGGCGAGCGTGAGAGTAAAAGGGAGGGCAACAATTCATTTTGTCGCGTTTGTTTTGAGTTATGTTTCGTTGTGAGATACAATCCGCGCTGTGCTCAAACAGGTTCCAGTGAACTGTGCGCAAAAGTGGATCCCATTGAAACAGCTGTTTGTGGAGTGAAATCATGTGGGCGCGCGATTTACTCAAATTCAAATGCTTAAAGATGTTAATTGTCTGGAGATAAACTGTGCACAACATCATAATTAGAAATATCCAAATAAATATAAAATTGACTTCTTTTTCGAATTGATTTTATTTAAGTTCTAAAAAATTTGGCATTCAATTTATTAGTGTTTAAAATATAAAGCTTTTCATCATCATTTGTGAATGGTAAATAAATACACTGATTAGTTTGGGCTGATCAACTGATGACAATTAATCCTCAGTGACAGTAAAGGAATGCGTCAGGCCCTCGTAGGGATACTTTCCACCTAGTATATACTTATATTCACCGGAGTGCCGTATGCGATACTCGCCAGGCAGCGTCTGGGGACTGATGTTCCAGAAGATCTCCAGCTCGCTAAAGCCCAGAATCGTGTTAGTACGATGCCAGACCATTCTGTAAATAGTCAGTTAGACTCAATGTCATAAAGGGAATATAATGATACTCACTTAGTCTCCCAGCTAGCATCCGTATAGGTGATCTTCCAGCGATCCTCGTTGATCTTACGCTCCACCGAAAAGTATGTTTTCTCTGTGAAGAGATTGTTGCGCGGATTGCCCGAAATAAAGGTGGCTCTGACGGTGTCATTAATGCCATATTGCTTATTAGGCTGGGTCTTCACATAGCCGAAATCGGTCCCAATGGGATGACCATCGAACAGCACTCCCGTATTCAGTGAAAGCATCACGTCATTCATATATGGTGGGCTGGGGCCAGCCTCCACACTCTGATTGCGCATCATCGCTTTAGTCAGGCGCTCGAAGACGTCCATGTAGATGGTGTGCGTGTTCGGGCCAAATATTGTGGAGGCAGCCTCATAACGCTGCGCCTGATACTCCTCGGGAGTGACGGTATAGCTGGAGTAGATGTTGGTCAGGCCAGCAATGATCACCTCCGTATCGATGCCACCAGCAGCCGAGGCAGCAGCTCTGATCTGATTCCGCAAGCGGCGTCCAGCCATGGTTGTAAATTCGCAAGGAACGGCGGCAATGATGACATCTCCGATCTTAAGGATTTGATTGGACACAATTTTGGGCTGCCACTCATACGGGAAGGTTGCCTAATAGGGGGAAATAGCTATTAACTGCTGTACTCTTCGCCTTTATCACTTAGCTACTCACTCGACCCGTGGCCAGCAGAATGGGCTTCGGCTCATGGCACTTGATATCCTCCTGAGTGGGCGGCACTATGAAGTCGCGCACAAAGTTCCACATGGGGTTGTCCGTCGTGGTGCCCTGCTCAAAGCTGAAGGCTCCAGGACCGTCGGTGGTGCCAGCCGCGAAACTGTAGCCCATAGCAGGCTGGCAGCCCTTAATCTTGTCCAGCTTGCGTGTGAGCGGATTGTACGTGCTGCCATTGTAATTGGGCATATCGACAAACTGATGAATGAAGCGCACATCGCCAGTTACCTCGCGTGCTGTCGACTCCTGACTCTGTTCGTTCAACAAGCCCAGAGCGGCTTCAGCCAGGCGCTGTCCAATGATCTGTGTGCTCTCGAACATGTCGCGCCCCGGACCGGAGGCAAAGCACTCGCCCTCGCCTTTGGGACAGTGCGAGGTGAGTATGTCGCACTCGTTGCCCGAAATAGAGCACTTTGGTCCCATGATGTTGGGCGAAACATCGCCCAAGTTCGAGGAGCAGAAGGCGCCCACAAATTTGCCCTTGCCGGGCATCTTATTCGGATTGTACTCCTTCTCCAGCAGAAGCGCAGCGTAGCCCATGTTGTCGCTGGTCACCAGCTTATTGGTGTTGTTCATCGAGGTGGCGTGCACGGCATACCAGTTGAAGGCGCCCAGCAGATTGTTCTCCTTGTCCACGAAGCGTAGCTGCGCCAGCGTCTTGTCCGTATCGTGCTCATACTGGGCCCGCTCCTCCGCAGGATTGCGCAGATACGACGACGGCGAGCGATTTATGTTCACATTGAGCACCAACGTCTTGGAGAAATAGATCCGACCATCTACCAGGTTGTCCGTGGCGCGTTTGATGCTCTAGACAGGATTGATTGAATTAATACTGAAATGATTTCTTTATGTTCGCCTCTTACCAGGTAGAGTCCTTGAGCCATAACCTCAAAGGTTTGTGGCACGAAGCCCAGAATGGAAATGTCATAGAGCAAGTGCATTAGAAAGCCGCCAGGTGCTCCATGCGTGTGGGTGCCACTGATGGCGACATTCTCGGCGTTGTAGATGTTACCGTAGCGCGCCTGCAGCCGCTTCAGCACCTCCCGCTTGAGGCCATAGCCCATCATGCCGCAGTCGGCGCTGATGAAGGCCACGCGATGCCCATTCTCGTCCTCCACGACGAAGGCGCGCGCAAAGGTGCGCGTGTGCAGGCCTCGTCCAATCTGCTTGATGTTCGCGTAGCCCATCTGTGCAGAGGATTGTACAGGTAATTCAGTTAAGCTCACCCGCCTGTCAAGTGCCTGTCACAAACTTACGAAATTAATTTCCACTGGCGGTCCGGTAATGTCGGCTCGTCCCACGCCCACTCTATAGGCGTTGGCCAGGCAGCTGAGCCCGCTAAGCGCTAACAGCGTGATTAGGCCGAATTTCCAATTAGCCATACTTCTTTTATGTACGCTCATTAATTGACCTACAAAAGAAATTTAATTTTGAGAATTTTTAGCTGTTTAGAGAAGCCAACGAGTGAGAGAGCGGAGAAGACACAGAGGAGATAGGACGATCTTTACTACTCTAGAAAATATTAGAGACTTTAAGAGCGATTCAAGGTAATCTAAAACTTAAGCTATAACTAAACTAAAATAGTTAAAAATATTTTCTAACTGAGCAATTTCTATTCGATTAAAGTTTTTATAGTAATTGTTGATAACAGAGAACAATAAATAATATTTTTATCAATTTGAAGGGCTTAAGTTTTAAAATAGGTTTAGTCAGATCTAATGGAAAACATAATGTTTTCAAATTAATTATGTTCGATGCTCTTTGAGTCCTGGTAGAATTTTCAGATGAGCATAAGGTAGGGACATATTAGAAAAATTAAAATAAAGTATATATATTTGAGAATGCATACAAAGTGCATACGAATATGATTAAATTACAAAATAAAAAAAATTGTTTTTACAAAAAAGATTTAAAAAATTTCAGTTTAATAAAAGTTGTGTGAAATCAATTTGCATTAACAACTAATAACTCTTACAATATCATTAATCACTTCTTTAACTTTACATCGATTCCATATTTAACTATATTCGAACAGATTTAAACTCATCACTGCCAATTGTCTGTATGAAACTGATATTAATTTCATATTAATTGAAACAGTAAATAAAACTGATTAAACTTTACATGTTTTAGATCCTGGGTTGTCAACACGAGTAAATATTCCAAATTCAAATATCTATAGAGATTCTGTTATATAATATTTGCCGCTTTGGCACGCCCCTAGTGGAAAAATCTTAATATCCACGCTAGCTTGGGACATTACACAGAACCAATATACTTTTTTCACTTCGTGAACGAGTTCAAAAACCTTTATCAAATTTGCCAATTATACTAACCGTCACTGAAGAGAGCATTTAAGTATTGAGCAAATATTGGCAACATTTGATTACAACATTACAATATAAACAAAGGCCCTATAGCTCAGACAGTGCATAGACATATAATATATATATACATCTATTATATGTCTATGCATATATATATATATATATATTTATATATATATGCATGTCTTATACGTTTTTTAAAAATGTTTACATTCATATGGATAATGCGGTCGTTGGCCAGCGACAAATGCTAATTTATTTAGGTGTCTGTAATCGCATTGGCCTTCGCCAGTTGCATCCAATCAATAAATAGATAAGTGCGTATTAAATCAAAGCAAAACAACTCTGTTGTTGTTGTTGTAGCTGTTGTTGTTGCTGTTGCTGTTGCTGTTGCTGTTGCTGTTGTTATTGCTGCTGCCCTTATCAGCTGGAAGAAAGAGCAGCGACAGCAACTGCGACTCGTTACTGAAAACCAGTTTTTATCAGCTTGCGAAATCGTTAGCCTTCTTCTGCTGCCAAAGCTGTTGTTGCTGCTGCTGCTGCTGCTGCTGTAATAGCTGGCCCGTGGCCAATGCTGAGTTAACTGCAAACAAGAGTAACTCAGTTTGTATGCGCCTTTTGTTCGCATTGCTTTTCCAGAAAATCTGTTCGCATTTATGTATATTTTCTTCATTGCATGCGGGCCACGTTTTACACAAAAGAACTTTTATTTAGCAGGCTCCAAATAGGAAATCCAGTCTGAGTAATTGTTTTGTATGCCGCACCATGTCACTCCAACAACAGCCGCCCCCAAGCCCCACTCGACAATTATCGAGATTGTCGCGCGCTTTGCATAATTCAGTCGCCGCAGGCCGACATTGAAAACGAAAATTAAATAAAATACATACTCATATGCCGCTGGCCAGACCACAAAAGCCAAAGACCACTGGCAACAAAGCACAGAAAATAAAAAAAATACTTAAAAACCAAAAAAAAAAATTTAAAACAACCTCGCAAGCCGCACATTTGAGTACACTTTGACACCTCCGAACACTGAGATTGTTTTTGAGCTTTATGGTAAAAATATCTTGATTTAGCAACAAGAGTTAATATTTGAATCTATTGAAATGGTGCTAAATGATGAAATGTTTTCCTTAATTGAAGAATATTTCTAGATACAAAAGTTTTTCCTACAATAAACCTTACTTTACTTTACTTTAGTTAGCCATATCTAGATGTTATGCAGACTTCATCTTGATAAGAAGATATAGCTGAATACTGTTTCAAGCAAGATCTCTTCAAGGGCACACGAGTACCATAAAGAACCTATATCAGCTGCTGATATAGTAGACACTTAACTATATATGCCACATGTCCATAAGTGGCCACATGTGTCACCGACACCACCTGGCAGGGTATGGAAAGCAAAGGCACAACGATAACAGCTGCAGGGCCAACAAATATAAGTTGGAAACAAAAAATTGCTATTCAGCTTCTTGTTTTATTATTATTTTTGGCTTTCATTTTTGCATATTCACAATCTGATAAGATGTTTATTGACTCGATTGTTTTATATAATTGGAAATTCGCATTGCCTATTTCTGTTATATTCAATTCCGCTTTTATCCAAATTGCAATTGGTTTTTATCTGATTTTAATTGGGACAATTTGAGTCCATGAAGTCCACTCGCCATTGTGCGCGCCACTTACAAAAGATTCAAATGTATCTCCTGGCATCCAATTGAGCGAATTACAAAAGATTTCGGTTCATGTGGAGGGGCTGATGAGCCTTTTCATACAGTTTTTTTCTCACTTTTTTTTCTTGTTTGTGAATCGCGATTCTCGTTCAAATTTTCGAGGTTAAGCGCGGCACTTAGTTAGCTTATGCAACGAGGCTCCTTTGCCTTGGCACTGATTAGCTCGAAGACTAATAACAATTACTATTGCAATTTCAATTTCAATTTCAGTTACTAATACCACAAATGGTCCAGAGAGCACTGATTCAGAGACTCTACGTGGACTTCAAGCCCTGGGCTGGTCGCAGTTTTAGCTGAATTGAGTCGGGCTTATCTCACGCTATGGGCTCCTCAATTAATTACTTAATTATGATCGCGATTTGCGGTTTAACACGTTACAATATTTATTTGCTGGACATTCGATGCCCGAGCCGATTGCAAAAACTCTTTCCGTTCCAAATGTGAAACAAGATTTCAAAACATGCCACTTCGATGGGACATACATACATGTGCATATGTATATTTATCTGCGCTACACAAGAGACCTGGCCCCTGCCCGCCTGCCACGCCCCCCACAACAAGCAATGGAACGAAAACGAAACTGAAACCGATTTTCGGCTCGAAGTCGCGTTGTTTTTTATGTGTTTTGTCGCGCTGGAGATTTTGTAAATGACGCCCGCTATGCGCCCAATCTGGCGCTCGACTGCTCGATGACTGGGCCACTGACTGACCAAGATGGAACCACGATCTCTCTCTTTCTCTCTCTCTCTTTCGTCTCTCTGGCCATGCTTGCGTTTTGTTTATTTATTTATATTATTTTGCTTGTGTTTTGAATGGCATTTGGTGAGTTTTTTTTGCTTTACATTGATTGCCATCCAGCGCTCAGTTAGTCACCGGCTCATGCAGTCATTTGCTCAGTTGTTCAATTGCTATGCATTATCACAGCAGATATAGTTGGAGCTAAAGTCTGAAACGTGGTCTTTATGTGCCGCCTTTGTTTGAGCGCCTGTTTCTCAGTTACCCTTTGTCACGCAGTTGCTATTGGGACATGCCCAGATTTATCGCCTCAGTTGTCCCGCTTGATAGCTTATCATAGCAGATCAAAACTAGAGATTAGCTAACTATTAATAACAAATACTTGAGCCACTTGAACTTTAATTTACTTGAACTTAAAGTCATGCAGCAAATAATATTTTATATATTTTAATAAATCTTTTAGTATCACATCAAAATATGTAGTAAAAAGCTTCGGTTGCATTGGTTTAACTTACTTCAAAATATTGACCAAGCAGGCAGCTGCTCACACTACAAGTCACACGCAGGCTCTATAACTAACTAGCAAAAGTGGCCGATCAATTGTTCAAGTTTGGTCAAATGGGGGTCTTTAAAATAATAGCTGATAACTACTGCGTTAATGTTTTTTGAAGATTAGCTAAGCTATAATTATTGAAGTGATAAGGATTATTGGTATGTGCGAACGTCCAAGCCTTGCATATAATCAGAAGTTTGCAAGTGTGAGTTTATTGTTTATAGTTTATTAGAAATTTGTATCATGTTAATTTAATGATTTTTCAAATATTAACGACTGCTCAAATTTGCGTTAACAGTTGTGCGAGCAATCTATATAAAGTTATCGACCCAATAGGTTAATATCGATACCAATCCATTTCAACAGCTGTTAACGCAGCTGTTAAAGGGATATATTTAACTTTTTTTGTAACGAACAGCTGTTCACACAGTTTTCAAGCGACGCCATCACTACGAACACCTGCGTAATGAGAAATTCGCTTACAATTGTTACAAAATAATCAAATCCTTGGGAAAGGCAAAACTACAAATGAAAACTAGAGCTAAGCTGAACGGTAAACACAACATCAAGCAGAGGCAAAGAACACGATATTGAAGTCAAGTTAAAAAAAACAAATTAAAAGAAAAAACATGTCGAAGGCCGTGAATAACATGAACATGGGCGTTGTGGAGCCGCAGCAGCGGATTAAAAACTTGTCCCACTGCGGCAATCTCATCGATGTGGACAAGAATATGAAAGTGTCGCGGTAAGTTGAAGAGCATCTAAAGGTTCACTGTTGTGGCGCCAAGCGGAAATCCTACTCAAATGTCAACCCACACTTCGTTAGGCGAAGACCTTGCATGCGCATTTGCCTTTTGAAGGATATTCACACATACACGCACATTCACACAAATACTCACATGAATGACTGTCAGTGTATGCGTGCGTGGGTATCTTATTGCGAGCTCTATAGGCTGCCAGATGCATGCCATTAGCAACAACAGCAACGAGATATTTTATTTGGCTGATTCATTTATTCCCGATGAATCGCTTGCTTCTACTTGCAGCTATTACCGCGCCGGAACTGAGATCCTGCGCATGGCCAACGTCTATTTGAATGAGGGAGACCATGAGAACGCATTTATATTGTACATGCGCTACATGACGCTGTTTATAGAGAAGATACGCCAGCATCCCGACTATGCCAGCGTTAAGGCCGATGTGAAGGCCATCAATAAGACGATTAAGGACGAGATCATGCCCACAACGGAGAAGCTGCGCAACAAGTTGCTGGCTCAGTATGAACGTGAATATGAGCAGTTTCTAGCCAACAAGGAGGCGGAGCGTATACGCGAACAGGAACGAGAGCGTCAGCAGCAAATGGCCAACAAGAAAGCAGCGGCAGCTGCATCTGTTCCTTCCCTCATACCCGCCAACTTGCACGTACAAATGGATCCGAGCAGCCAACCAACGGCACCAGATCTGAGTCTGCTGGATCAGGTGGTCTATCCGAACGATTTTCCCTCAGGCACCAATCGTACCAACTTGCCCAACTCGGGTCTACTATTGCCAATGGCACCTGATGCTGGCGCCGCCGACAAGTTAGCCAAGTGAGTTATTCTAAAGACACAGATGCGCAAGACTAACACGACTTACCTTACAGCTCGTCAACAAAGCCCGCATTTGATCGCAGCCGGAAGCCGCAGTTTAACCGCACGGACTCTTTGCTAGCTGGCTCATTGCGCAGTGTCAATGTGCCCGGCGATACCATGGATGTGTTCCTGAAGCTGGCGCATGCCAATACCTCCAATAATGTAGAGACTTGCGGTGTTCTGGCCGGCCATCTGGCCCACAATGAACTCTATATAACGCATATTATTGCGCCCCAGCAGCAAGGCACGCCCGATAGCTGCAACACGATGCACGAGGAGCAGATCTTTGATGTCCAGGATCAAATGCAGCTCATTACGCTTGGCTGGATACATGTAGGTGGTCATACGCATAGCCTATATATAATTGACTAATGAGTCACTCGCACCCATCACTTTCATTGACAGACACATCCTAGTCAAACTGCTTTTCTGTCCTCCGTTGACTTGCACACGCACTGCTCCTACCAGATGATGATGCCAGAGGCAATAGCCATCGTCTGTGCGCCCAAGTACAATACGTGAGTCATTGTCATTGTTTTTTCGGTTTTTTTCTCTGAATCAGACTAAGCAATTTGTATTATTATTTTTAGAACTGGTTTCTTCATTCTCACGCCGCAATATGGCCTGGACTACATCGCACAGTGCCGGCAAAGCGGATTTCACCCGCACCCCAATGATCCACCTCTCTTCATGGATGCGCAGCACATCAAAATGGATGCCCAGTCGAAGATCAAGGTCATCGATCTGCGCAGATAGTATGCTGAAATGTTGGTCTAACTCAGCAGCAACAGCACCAACCAATAGCACATTGGTTCATCTACTGGATGCAAAGCCAGCGAATTTAACAAATGCTGTAGGAACAACAACATCGGCAACAGTCATCATGACAACAAAATCGCAGTTTAGATTTGATGCAACTGAATGAACACATAAACAAACACTATAGTGATTAATGATCTTAGATATTTCAAAGAAACAACAAATGGAGGCATCATACTTTGCGACTGTACAGCTGTATTTTTTGCAGGCACTTGATTATTAATGTGACTATTTAGAACAGATAAACAAATGGCATTACATTAGCTTTCAGTTAACAAAAATTGCAATTTATTCATATATTTAGGATCTGCTTTATACAAATTATTTAATGTGATTTACAATTGTGGCTTATATTTTTGTTAAAACTGTTTTCTCTTTGTTTATGCATGTATTTATTATATCTTTTAATGAAGTCTACACTCTACACACGCCGCTATTAAGGCAACCAATGCAAAATGTTTAAAATATTGATATTTATATATATTTACTTAATATTGCTAAAAAAAACAAAAAAGAAACAAAACAAGAAATTAATAACTATACTATAACATGTTGTTTGAAGAAAAGCCACTAAATGGTAATCGTGTTATATATGCTTACTAAATTGCTTAAATTAATAAAAGTGAACACATTATTTTAAAATACTTTCCTTATAACTTTGAACTAAAATTGACTACAATGAAATTGTACTGTTATGAGCGCTACTGTTAACACAACATTATTCTGTTAAATGCATGTTTACATTTCAAGAAAAGTCCCTACAGCTTCAGATTGGAGCAATTAAAAATATTATGTTAAGTTCAATGTTATTAGGCAGCACTGTTAAAATTTCCCTACTAGCATTCGGGCCCTTTGCGTTTGCATTTCCCGCCCACAGTTTTACGTGTTTTCTCGCCTCGTGCAGTCTGTTCAGGTTATAGAGCAGAACCCGGAATTCTGCAACCGCAAAGAGGCTAAAAATAATTTAATTACGAAGCATAGAGTTACGATAAAAAAAAAAGAAAAAACAAGTTTAATATTTGCGGTGTGAATAACAATCGATAAAAGAACAGCACGCATCAGAAACGAGCGCATCAACGAGTCACCGAAAGCGAAAGGGGAGGGGTACGCTTGCCGTAGCTGTCGCCGTGTGGCCCTTGCCCTTGATTAAACATTTCAGTCGAGAAAATAAAATAGCCACGTTCCATATCAAATCAAGTTTTACTCATAATTTTCTTGTCCTTTTTTGGTTGCCCAATTAAGTTTCGCGCCAATACTCCACTCCCTCCCCAGTCGCCCCCTTAGCTAGTAGATCTATTACAATATATATAATGCCAATGCTCGAATTGAACCCAATTAATTGGATACCAGGACAGGAAAGCGTTCAATGTCAAGAAGTAAGTAATGAACCGAATGTGTTCTAAATGCTAATTAAACCTTTTAATTAACACAAACATCAGGCGTGTTTGCGTGTGTCCAGAAATTGACGCCTAATGGCTTTTTCAATAGCGACACAATCAAGGTCCTTCTATGTTGGCTGTGTGAGAAGACAAATAACACAATATGTTAAGAATATTCACTTGTCAGATAAGCATTGATAAGCGCACTTTAATCAGCTAAAAGCTCAAGAATCTCATTACTTATTAGCACTATCTATGTGACTTTTACACTACAGTTGACCCCGTAGCACTTATCAACACCTATTATATGCCTTTTTTATGGCCATCTAGGAAAGGGCTAACACAGTAAAGTCACCCGGATCAACTCGGCTTATGGAATAGCAGTAGAAAATGTTACCTGCCAAGTGTCCACTCAAGAGAGTTTTTACTGTCTGCCGTTAAGCGGAGGCTTGTGGCACAAGTACCTGTCGCGACTGCTGCTCGTCCTGACTCGTGCCTGGCGCCCAAGGGACCCGAAAAAGACGTCCGTCAGCTGAAAAAATCAGCTGATGGAGGTCGCACGCAGTTAAAGGCTTTCAAATTGCTATTTTAAAGGCTCCCAAGCGCCTTCAGATAGGGAGTTCCAGTTGTAGTACCGTGTCGTGTTGCCAGCCATAATGGCTGTAGATTTTATTCAACGAATCGCATGCAGCTCGCTTTTCAAAAGCCTTGTTAGCTCAGTCATTGGACCCTGTCAGCCCGGCGAGATATATGTACTTATTTACGTGTTTCCACTCTCTGAGCGCCGTGCACATTTCTTTATATTTATCCATGTTCTTTGTGTGTGTGAGTGCGTGTGTCTGTTGTTCTTGTCTCTAACTATTTTTAGAACAGCCATGCGCCATTCACGTGCGTGCGCTCGACCCGGCCGGCCGGCCCATGTGGCGTATACGCAATGCGCGCTTCAGCTTCTAGTATTTGTGGCATATGCTGCACGTGCTGACAACAGCTAATTGCAATTCCCGATTGATTATAAATATATTTGATTGCTTAGATTCAATTTCTAGTTATTTAGTACAGGTTTGAGACCACTTGAGTCAAGGGCAAAGAGCGTATAGAATCTCTGCTTGAATTCACTTCTTTTCTGTTAGTTAGTTTAATTATTTATTTTATTTACTTATTTATTTTATTAATTTATTTTATTTTGTTTATTTAATGTATTTATTTTATTTAATTATTTTGTTTTTTATTTTATTTATTTGAATTATTTAATTTATTTTATTTTATTTTATTAAAATAAATCATTTTTTCATTTTATTTTACTTATTTTATTCTTAGAAATTTTCCTTTTTGTGAAATTTTAAGAGGAAGTAAAGCTCGATATTTTTACCTGAGCGCCTTTATAAATATGGCAGCAACTCAAAAAGAATTTTATCGTTTTTATTTATATATTATTTTAAAAATAAATAAAATTATAAAAAATTGTGACTTGCTTTTCAGAGCATGTTTTGACATTTCAGCATTGTGTGAGTGTGTGTCTAAATGCAGGTGTCTTCTGTGTGCCTTGCACTGCTTATTATTATAAATGTAAACAAATTTACTTAAAACAAAGTAATAATAATAAAGGGAATGGAATAATGTTATATTGATATTAGGTCTAATGATAGAATATCGTATTACTAATAAATGAAATTTATTCTCGACTATTTCTGCGGTCACGAAGCGAAGTTCAAGGCAAAGACTTGCTAATTTAGATGTGTGCGTAGGTTCTTTCGCTAAAGCTCCGCAGTTGACCTTTAAGTGGAAATCATAAATCTGTGTGCCTGTTGCCTTGTGCATTTGCGTAGTTGTTGTCTTGCCCGGGAAACTCAACGCTTCAGCTACTCATTCAGCTGTGCTCCCAGTTTATATGCTGTTCAGCGGAGTAGAGCTTTTTTGCATTGCTGGGAATATGACCTACAAGTAATGCACCTAGGAAAGCTCCGTCATGGAAGGGGATTGTCGACAGCTTGCACGATTTCCTGTTCTCACTGTCTGTGTGCTCCACAGGTGGTTGTTTTCGCCACACACACACACACACATGCATGACTATATTTTTTGATTGTATTTGAAATGTTGCACCCTATAAGTAAACAGATTGCAAAGCTCTGCCCACAGATGGTAGATACATCATATAGTTGTTGTTGTTGTTATGGCTCATGAAATGAGCTCGAATACGACAGCAAATACGCTGACAGACACACGAATACACCTTCATATTGCAATAGCAAATCACAAGCGACGCACACAAGCAAAAACAAAAACAATTATAATAATAACAAATACAAATGCATAGACGTAAACCCCAGCCGACTGTCAGCTGCTGCTGCAGTCGACGCCGACGGCGACGCTCACGTCGACGCTGGGGTAGTATGTTACTGGGAAAAGCTTTTTCGCCACTGCCTCAGATTTTGATTCAGAACGGAAAAGTGAAGCGTCGCTAACGCACGCAGCTAGCCAAAACAAACGTGAATCGCGCAATATATTCAAAATCGAAATTCCTCTGCCCAGAGAAATATATATATATAAATGGAAATATATCTATAAAATATATATATGCAAAAAGAGAAACCGAAAGAGAGAGAGAGAGAAAATTCATAGTAATCGGTGAACCTGGAAGCCCATTGGCATTGGCATTATCAAGCAGCAACTGTGCACTCGCGGCAACAGTTGGCGTTGTAAACAAAACAAGCGAATAAATTAGCTACACTACGCGATATCCCAGCAATTTTAGAGAAACAAATGTAAAAGATTGCGAGAGCTTAATTGAAATAATTAAAGCCTCAATTTCGCAGAAAATATCATAATTGTTGCAAGTGCAAGTTCGTTAAAAGTTTCCAACAGGACTTCATTTCACTGTGTTCCACTAAATTTCTCAAAATGGAAGAGGTAAACTACATAAAGACTTAGAAATGTTTATAAAATCTTTGTTTGACTCGATCATGGACTTAGGCATCATTATATCATCTCATTATATCATATCTAAAGACCTCGTCTAACTCATTTTCTTACTTAGTTATATAATGATATAGTTATTATCACTGGCAAATTGAATGAAATAGAAATGTGTCCGTAATCAAGTGCCCGTCACATAGCACCTCTATGTGATTCCTGGACTGACCATCTGTGCGAATTGCTTTATTATATGTTTATCTTATTAAATAGATAACAAATAATTAAAGCTAGAAGACCAAATTAATTAATTTGCTTTATTTTTAATAAGAAAGCGAGTTTTGCATATCTCAATATATTCTTATTAAATATAGCTTATCTATGAATACAAGATTTCTCATTAATATATCTAACAAATTTGTTTTGAGAGACAATTACGAATGCTTGTCACTATTTTAAATTTGTATAGACACTCTTCATACATATATCTATATCTATATATATATATATATATATAGAAAAGAGACAAAAAAACATAATTCTTAATGAATATTCACATTCATTTGAGCTATACGAAAAAAGCTTGCCATAGCATCATATGTTTCTATGATTGCCGTCTCTCGGTCTCCCCTCGAGTGTCTAGCAACAACAGCAGCAGAATCACCTTCAGGCAAAGGCTGAATTAGCTCGTCGCTATCTCAATTTTCACTGGAAACTGTGCTTGCCGTTGTTTATTTGTATTATATATATTTATTATGCATTCATTTAAGCAGCTTTTTAACGTTTTTTCTTTCTAATGTGCCGTTTATTTATTTCTGTTTCTGGAACAGGCAACTGGAGTCATTTGCTACTCATTACTCGCTGTAACTCTCCCCGTCTGTTGTATTTCTCTTTTTCACATTCTCTGTCAATCTCTCTGCTACACAAGCTCTCTATCTCTCTCTTAGCTTATTGTCACCACAGCCAATTATGTGTTTGACCGCCCGTGCGTATACGTAATCAGTCACTTGCACATTAAAGTTTATTTCGTACTTGTGATAATGAGGCTTATTGCAATTAACTGTAGTTGAATTAAAAGCAAAGTTCAAGCACTTTAGTTACAGTTATCATAAGTGAATTTACTATTGGCTCAAACCTCAGAGCCTGCACGTACTTAGAGCAAACAAAGTCGTTAACTCAGTTAAGTTTCGATTCGATTTGCACAGCTCGAATAAACTATTCTCTGTGATTTATTTTCATCAAGCTTCCCGCTCATCTCCAACCAGAACGCCAGCCATGCCTCTGACGAAATGGCGATAATGACCAGGCGGACTGACCTTGACAGGAATTGCTAAAAGTTATGCAGCATTTGTTTGTTCTCAGGGGCGTAACATTTGCATACAGACACTAATACAAACATAAATATATATATAAATTTATATATATATATATATATATATATATATATATATATATATTTATATATTTATATATATTATGTATTAAGCAACGTAGACAGTAACACGTGACGACCTGCAGGTGCGGCGCTTTTCTCCTCGCGAACTTTGACTTGGCGGAGCAACAGCCAGGCAGACAAACGACCTCATTATAACTTTTAGCCAAGCAAAAGCAACAAAACACAGCCGCAGAGCTCGTCATACATATATATATGCCGTGACACACGTGGCGTATGTGCAATACTTTGTGCATCTTTGACGCCCTGCCTTGTAAGTGTGACTGTATTTGTCTGCAGCTCGCTGTGTTATGTTTGTGTTTGTTTGGCGGATTTCAAGTTCAATGTGCAATTGCACGGCGCTCTGGCTCTGTACTTGGCACAGCAGCTGGCAACAAGGTTTCCTTTTGATTACCACAACGGCTGAGCGCGAGCTGTTGATTTGAGCTTGATGATGATCCTTTTCAGCAAGTGAATTATGTGGTACTTTATTTCCTTTGCCTAACTGATGGGAATAATAAAATAATTGCAATTGTGTGAGCTTATAAAGTGCTACAAGTGTTGTAAATAAAAACGTACGCTAAATAAATCACACGAAAAGTATAGTTGGCATCCACAAATTGATGTTGTGCTCTACTGAAAGGAATAACTACAGTAAACTGATAATAAATCTATCTTTAATTTGATTTATTTTATAAAAACTCGTTACTATAACATATTTTATGTTAAATAATAAATTTACTCTCCGGCTGCGTATTAATTGAGTAATAAATTAAATTGATTATTAACACACAATATTTCAGTTGGTAACTGCCAAGCTATCCAGATTTCATAATAATCCACAGAACAAAATAAATTACAACAAGTGTGAGACTGCACAAATAGTAAACAAGCTGATAAGCCTTGAAATCAATACAGGACTCAATCAAATGGATTTTCTGTTGACTTCAAAGCAATAAATTGTTTTTGTTATTGTGTTTCGTTGACATATCACCTGTGCGTGTGTGTGTAAATATATTTGCATGTAACTGGCGCTCTCTATAGCAAAAGTGATCAAATGGCAATTTCCACGCATGATAATCGTATTACGTCAACGAATTAATTGATAAATGAGAACGACTTTCGAGCGATTCTGTTGTTTGTTGACGGAATTGCTTCCAACAGCGTTGACACCGATTTAGCATTCAATGAAAATAAAAGAAATTTCCATATACATAAAGAGTATTTGCCCTTACCAATTTTGTAATTCTCACGCGCTTCGTTTGTTTGCAAACAAACTAGAAATATTGTCTAATTTATGATGTCAACAATGTCAAAGAGCAGCACAAGAAAGAAGAGAACCGCATTTAAGAGCGGCAAAACGATCAGACGCTGTTAGGCAAAAGATAAATCAAAAAGCAAAAAGAGAGAATTTGCACGCTCTCTCGACGAGTTTTGCTCTGCAATAGAATGAAGTGAAGCCATTTCAGACATTTAGTTCGGCAGCGGGTTCGATTCGGTTCAGTTTAGATTTGTCGAAAGTCGATGCAATAATTAATGCCAGCTAGATTTGGTCATTAAAAAACAAACTACTGTTAGGCTGAAATAATTAAAAATATCAATATAATGCCAATTACCGCCACTGTAAGTTAAGTTCGACAGAGAGACGTAGACAGCACAGGCACTTTGTATATATATGACACGTGTTGCTTTTGTTTGCCATTTAAAGAGCGGAAGAGAGAGGGAGCGAAGCGCGTGCGAGATGTGCGCGTATATTTGTGACTATGTGCGTTGTTTCATCTGTTATCTGTTTTGTATTTCTTGCAGACACCCTCGCTGCTAAAGCGCGCCGGCACTGATAAACTGCGTGAAGTTTTTCTTAAGTACGCCTCGCTACAAAAGGATGGCGAGCATTACATGACCAGCGAGGATTTCGTGCGAAAATTTCTGGGCTTGTTCGTAGAGTCGTCGTTCAATGATGTAAGTAGCAACAAAGCAACCGCAGAGACAGCAACAACATCGTGACAAACAAAACCCGTGTCACAGACAACAGGCAACAGCGCATCATTGGGTCATTGCAAGGTCATACACAGTCTTGCTATGTGATAAGCACCAACATCAGCTGCAACAAAAACATGCGGTGGGCCGAACCCTATACTCGGAGCAATTCTTATCAACATAGAGGAGATAGCGCTTACCTGTGTAACGGGCAGCATAAGATCTGTGCGCTAGACACTTTAAAATATTTATCTCATAGAGACAACTGATTCAGAGTGCACTCGTTATCACTTGCTCGCCTCGTGCAAAAGTCTGTCGACGTCACAGCATTTAAATTTGTTGCTCGTCGTTATCAAATGTTTGGCTAGTCGCAGCTGGAATTGATTCCCAAGGTGCGTCCGGGCCGAAGTCTGTGGATTGTACTTTTCCAGTGATAAAGTCTTTATTTTAACTAATCACTTGTTAGGCAACACGCCAATGCCTGATTAAACATTGAACCTTACTTTTCAGGAATCGGTGCGCCTGCTCGCCGGAATTGCGGACACAAGCAAAGATGGTCTCATATCATTCTCGGAGTTTCAGGCGTTCGAGGGCTTGCTCTGCGCCCCTGATGCCCTCTACAGAACTGCCTTTCAGCTGTTTGATCGCCAAGGCAATGGCACAGTTTCATACGGTAGTTATCTATATAAATACACATAATCATTTTGTGGTTTATACTGGTTTTATTTGTATTCCTACAGCTGATTTCGCTGATGTCGTACAGAAAACTGAGTTGCACTCAAAGATACCTTTTAGCTTAGATGGAACATTTATCAAACGCTACTTTGGTGATGTACGTGAACGGAAACATGTTTATTAATAAAGCACGCACTTAAACGATTTTCTATACACCCCTATAAATCTATTTATATAAATCTGTATATATATAGAAGAAGCAACGCCTTATCAACTATGCTGAATTTACGCAACTGCTGCATGACTTTCACGAAGAGCACGCAATGGAGGCATTCCGTAGCAAAGATCCAGCCGGCACTGGATTTATATCCCCCCTAGACTTCCAGGATATAATTGTTAAGGTTAAGCGGCATTTACTCACGCCCGATGTCAAGGATAACTTGCTGGCGGTATGTCCACATCAAACTTTTATACAGATATGTCAAGGCATGTTTATGATCAATCAATTTCACAGGTCACTGAGGGTCATAGAGTTAGCTTTCCGTATTTCATTGCATTTACATCACTGCTCAACAACATGGAGCTGATCAAGCAAATCTATCTATATGCCACCAAGGGCAGTCGCACCGAGATGGTCACCAAGGACGAGCTGCTCTATGCTGCGCAGACCATGAGCCAGATTACACCCCTCGAAATTGATATATTGTTTCAGCTGACGGGCGCTGTTAATCAGCCCGGGTAAGTCGTCTAGGTCACTAACGTTTCCACCTCAAACAACGCCAACAACAACCACAAACAACTGCAAACAACAATAACAATTTCATTTGTAGGCAAATCATGTGGTCAGCAATATTCTCGGTTCAAAATAAATAACCAAGCCCCATCCTTGTGTTTGTCTCCCCTGTTGTAATAACCGTTGAAATTTTGTATCTTTTCTTTCTTTCTCTCTCTCCCCTGCTCTCTCTTTTTCGAACTCATATAAATCAAATTGCATACAAATTTGTTTACCTTAACGTATTTATCACAATATTAGAAGATGGTGGAAACGCAAAACGATTTCTCCAAGTAGGCAAGTGTTGTTGTTCTTAAAAACAAATTAAAAGAAGCGTTAATAAGACATGGTATTTCCCTCGCTCGCTAAAAATTCATATGCAAAAAATGATCAGAAAACCAAAACTCCCCATCGCCATGCATCACCCCTTCGGTGTGATTTCGTTGTAGATAGTTATGTGTGGGTATCTTCGCATCCTGATCCTTCGACTAACCACATGCTCGAATCGTTTGTCCCAACAGCCGCATCGACTACAGCGACCTGAGCAACATCGGACCCGAACACTATACGAAGCATATTACTCACCGTCTGGCCGAGATTAAGGCTGTTGACAGTCCCAATGATCGATCGGCATTGATTCAAGTACTGGAGGCCACCTATCGCTTTACTCTGGCCTCCTTTGCAGGCGGTAAGCTAATGGAGAGCATTTAATGCTTATCAAGTATTCTAACTGTTCACTGCCTTCCTCAGCTACTGGCGCCACCGTCGTCTACCCTATTGATCTCGTGAAGACGCGCATGCAGAATCAACGCACGGGCTCCATGATTGGTGAGATCGCTTATAGAAATTCGTGGGATTGTTTCAAGAAGGTACATCAAATAGCTGAAAAAGTGTCGCGTGGTATTTATCAATGTTTATTGTGCAAAAGGTCATTCGCCACGAAGGCATCCTGGGTCTCTACCGCGGCCTGCTGCCCCAGTTGATGGGCGTCGCTCCGGAGAAGGCCATCAAGCTCACTGTCAATGACTTTGTGCGCGATAATCTGTCGGACAAGCGTGGCAATATTCCAGTCTGGGGCGAGGTTGTAGCCGGCGCCTGTGGTGGTGCTGCCCAGGTTATCTTTACAAATCCGCTGGAGATTGTCAAAATTCGACTGCAGGTGGCTGGCGAAATTGCTGGCGGCTCCAAGATAAGTGCTCTGTCCGTTGTTCGCGAACTGGGTTTTCTTGGACTGTACAAAGGCGCCAGAGCGTGCCTGCTACGCGACGTCAACTTCTCGGCCATCTACTTCCCGACCTATGCACACACCAAAGCGGCATTGGCCGACAAGGATGGATACAATCATCCGCTATCGCTGCTGGCCGCTGGCGCCATTGCTGGTGTGCCCGCTGCTTCGCTGGTGACGCCCGCGGATGTGATTAAGACGCGACTGCAGGTGGCCGCTCGCACGGGACAGACGACTTACACAGGCGTTTGGGATGCTACTAAAAAGATTATGGCAGAAGAAGGACCGCGAGCCTTCTGGAAGGGCACAGCCGGTAAATAGCCACAATCCAAAAGTATATAAATTCTTCCTAATCTTTAACTTTCTGTCTCATTCTGTTGTTTAGCTCGTGTTTGCCGCTCATCGCCACAATTTGGTGTCACCTTGGTCACTTACGAGCTGCTGCAGCGTCTGTTCTACGTGGACTTTGGCGGCAATCAGCCTAAGGGCTCGCAAGGCACAAAACCAGGTCTGCCCATAGACTCCACACTGGGCGGAGAGCAGCCGAAGCCCGATCACATTGGTGGTTACCATGCAGCTGTGCCGCTGCTGACGGGCATTGAGTCCAAGTTTGGACTGTACCTGCCGCGATTTGGTCGAGGTGTCGGTGCCTCTGCCCCGGCTGGAACAGCGACGGGCTCATGATTATATTGGCGGCATCGTCTGCCATGCGCCAGTTAGGTCTAAAGTTGTACAGTTGTAGCCATATATATATATATATAGGCAAAAGGATGAAGTCGACTCTGATCAGCTATAGATCAAATGTCTATTTTTTGCTAAGACGCGTTTATACACACAGCCACAAACAGTCGAGGACAACAGCAAGCAGTTCGATGTATCTGGTCTATTCTAGAGGGTTCTTTTCTTACCATCAACAAGTTGTAATAAGCGTAACAAACCTTTTGAAATATATATACGGAATAGAAACTTTTACATATAGAAATTTATATTGATATTTGCATGTGTATATGTATATGATAAATAGCAAACATTTTATGGCACACAATTGAAAGCAACTGTTCTACCTACACATAAAACGAACATACCTATATAGAAGAAACTGTAACTTTAACTAGATATATAGTTGAAAGTCTAAAACAAAACAACACAAAGCAAATCACTGAACGTCTCTTATTGCACTCAAACTTTTAAGCGTAAAACCTTTCAATATAGTACGAATTTGTTCAACTGTTATAAAGGAAAATGCAATGAATTACCTCTTAGCTAATAAATGTAAAATGAATATAATTAAAATAAATGTACAAATATTGAAAAACAAACAAAATAACAACAATCCATGTTTATTTAGTTGGTATTTTAAATTTGTTTGCCTATCATATGTAACGCTTTGAGCCGAAGTTGGACTCGACTCGAGTTTAATTTCAGAATTTTAATAAGAAGTCATATTTCAAAATGAATATGTAATTTAATAGTAATAGAAGCTATTTCTTTTACGAGAGTATTGAATGAGGAGTTGCTGGTGAAGGTTTTTCAACATTCAGATGATCTGTTAAGTGTGACAGGTATATCCTCCTGAATCTTTGGCGTCTTCTTCTACAGTGCAGTCTACGGGAAGGCTTTTACTTTCCCTAATATTCTTCCAGAAAACTGACCTCGTTTATTATGCCATCGACTAAAGGTGCGTTGACAAGTCTGAAAAAGGTGTCCTGTGTCGCACATATTTTGTTTAGGTAAAGCGATTTGGTACACTTGTATTCCATACTTCCAAATGATGATCACTCTACTTTTGTACATAAATATATGGTTTTTGATTGAAACTTTATTAAACGTTTTCTAAGTAGTTGCTGAGTTCTTTATTTTTGGGACCTGTTAATGATAATTAAAATAGAGAATAAATACGGATTTTCTAGATGCTCATGCTTTTAGCAATTGGGGTTTGATTATGAATGCAGTAGGCGTTATCCCAAATTTGAGCAATTGGAATGTCAATGAACCCTAAAACACCTCTAACTTTGAGCACTCATATTTAAGCCTCATTGTAGAGGACAAATAAATTAACTTTTGATAATTATATCTCCCTTTGTTGGAACATATTCACATTGTTACTCCTTCATAATATACTTGGAATCGACTGAAAAGTCTTAAAAGTCTTAGTCTAAATACTGTAAGATAGTATAACTAACTAGAAAGTGTATAAATGAATATAGTTCAGTTTTCTGTCACAGCTTTTCCCACTTTATCGAATTGGAAAGTACGACGACTGCCCTTCAGGTCGAGCCCAATGACACGCTTTAGCCATGGCTAAGTGCATCAGTTAACAGGCATGTGGCACATGCGATTAGAATGCGGTGGCATTTGACAAATGCGTTGACAAGGTAATTTTCTGTCCAATAAGGCGGCTTTCAGGTCAGTCGATCGACAATAAATTCAATTTCGAATTCAACAGTTTTATATGCAATGTGGCTTACTGGAGCTGGCCTCCCGCCCACTAGACTGGCAGCCGCTGACCATGACCGTCAAAATTGAATGCGATCTCCAACCGTTAGCAATTTAATTCTGCACGCAGTGCGTTGCCTTTTGCCCATCTAATCACTGGTTGAACAGCAAAATGCGTTTCCATTCAGTGGCCAAGTCTTGTGGCACATAAAAAGCAGCCGTCCAGCGCCCTAGCAGCCGCAGTTTCAATCCGAATCTTGAGTCGAACTCTTGGTTAGCCGCACAGAATGCAAGTGAAATTTACGAAAAGTGTCTGCATTTTGGCAATGTGTTTGTTGCTCCTGCAACATGTGGCAGGCCACGAGGCAACAGTGAAGCCAACGCAAACGCAAAAAACGGATACGCGCGTTTCTTGGATAGCCCAATTGCTGCAGTTGTGCCAACAGCTGGGCACGTGCTTCCGTTCGGGCACGGGTTTGTGGTCGTGTTTTCGTGCGCGCAGCCTGCAAATTTTCGAGGACATCATGGCAGCGGAAGTCATTCCGCTCTATGAGGGCGTACGGCTGATGGCAGCACCGAACGCCACAAATGGGCAAGTGCGAGAAGCGACTGAGGAACGCAGGGACCTTAAACACCTGACGTGGTTTGATCAACTGGCTGTCAGCTTGGCCAAGGGTCTAACCACGCACACGCTGCAAATAAATCTGGCTAAGCTCACGGAACGTTATCTGAGCAACGGTGGGTAGTTGAAGTGAACAATTCCTTAAATATGACAGTCCATTATATCTACAGCTGGGTCGGAGAGCAAAGCGGATGCAGTGGGCAGCGCTCGTCTGCGTCGGCATCGTTTCAACATGATTATCACCATGATGTTTGGGGTCACAGCTCTTGGGGCTGTGCTGGTGCCTATGGGATTTCAAATGCTGTCTATTGTCAGTGGCAAGGCGTTGCTATTGGCGAAAATGGCTTTACTGCTGGCGTCTATCAATGGCCTGAAGCGGGTTAGTTCACGTAGCGCTAATCCCCTTATACAGCTCCTTGTATTAAGTTGAGAACATTTTCTTGGACAGGTCGCCAATACTGGACTTCATTATGGCTTATATCATGTGCCCGGCGAGCATTTGGGCGGCTATTACGATCGCGGCGACTTGAACCATCCACGGAATGTGCCCATACCCGTGGGCCTGACGCCTTCATTGGACATGAGCTTGAAGTAAGAGAGGAAAGAGAGCGCGAAATGAAGTAGCAAAGCGCGAGAAATATCCAGTCAATTGCTGTAGTTTACAGTTAGTTCAAATAAAAGTAGTTTTCTTATTAAGCAAAGTTCGTTTCACAGCTTTTCAGCTTTTCAGATGCTGCTGCTAGTTTTTGCGGCAAGTTGGCAGCTCTGGCTGAAAGCTTCAAAGAGCTTTTGGTGTGTTGAGTTTCCCATATTGCGGGAATCTTTTCAAAATACTCTCTTGCTTTGTGCACCTCAGAAGAATATATTTATTTATGGCAAAATAAGTTGAAAAAGTAGTTTAAAAGTAGACTACGAAACTCTGCACATGGCAGAAGTTTTCTATATGATTAAAAAGTTGTGCACTTAAAGCAGACTTCAAATTGTTGCGCACTGCATGCCACAAGAGGGCGATCCAAGCGATGGCAAGCAGCAGGCCGTGGCGGCTGCGGCAGTGTGGGTGGTCGTGTGGTGGCAACACGAGGACTATAAAAGGAAACGCGCCGCTGATAAGGACCAACATTCTGTCGTCGGTTGCGGCAGCTTTGACATCTCGTGTCGCCTGCGAACGGAAGTCGCGCATTGCAATTCGCTGAACAGTTTATATCCTTTGTATCCTGTCGAGGAGTTGTGTGTAACGGTTTCTGTGCCATTCAAAACGCTTTTACTTTTAATCTCGATCCCAGTGCGAACTACGTGACTTCGTCTTGTCAATTTCTCTCGCTCTAATAAAATTATTGGTTGCGTGTTGCCGCTCGCTACAAATCCTTTTAATCAGCTTAGCCCGCTTCGCACGAGCTTAATCTGAGAAGACCGCACTGGACATAGCTACCTTTTTGGCCGTCGCTCAATTGAAAGTCTGAACTAGGCCACGCTACAGCGGCAATTGACAATTTCACGGTCCGATTTAGTGCAACGGAAGACGCAAACTCCGGCGGAATGAAGCTCGTGGTTTATTGCTATTTATCCATGATTGTGCTGGGCGTCCAGGTAAGTGCTGGCTTGAGACTCTGTGTAATTTGATTTCGATCAACAGACAAGTTTATCCTAACTTCTGCTTCAAAATTCAACTTTTGTCTTTCAGTCTTTTGAATTAATTTCGCACTGTCAGGGACTTACCGCAGAGAGATTGATGAGTCCTGGCCAATTCGAATTTTATGAGCAAAGTTTTTGAAACCTTTGACTTCTGCTCAGTCTTTTCTTAGTCCATTCATCGTTGTTCGTATGTTGCGGCAGATTGCTTTCATTAGGCTCAAATTGTGTGACCAAGTTTTGGGCGTGCGTGAGATTAAAGGGCTCTGGCTCGAATAACATTTGCTGGCAAATCAATTTCATGTTTTATTGCACGCGTTGTCATCGTTATTAGATTTATCTTTTTGGCCAGGCGACAGCTGTAATTCATATAAATATATGTTTTTTAGTCTAAAAGTGTCTGTAGTTAGTATAATTTATATAATTTCACTATACATATTTTTTGGCTAATAATTTAATGTTAGTTTTTCAAATATAATTCAGAGTTGAATTAAACTCGTGTTCGAAGAATCAGAAGATTATTGTATTGTATTGTATTTTTTTGTAAATGTAATAAACTCAAAATTGTTCAAAAGCAATTAGACCCTGCGGCCAAATTCAAGAATTTATATGTATATTATATAAAAAGTATTGGGTTTAATATCTAATTTATTATTTATTTATATTGTGTATGTATGTAAATTTAAACAGAGATCTAATTTGCACCCTTTATCAACTATGGAAGTAGGTTTAACTGTACTTTGAGGAGTACTCGGCTTAATTTAAAGATCTTTAAATTGTGTGTACGTCACTAAATGTATCTGATAAACATGTTATCTTAATACATTATCTGCTAAAAAGTGAAAGAAAAATCAAATGAAAATATTTTTGATAAGGGAAGGAAAATTAATTTAGTTATTTTTTAAATCAAAAGTTATATCTCAAAGCCCCTAATTTTAGTTTTGAAAACTTAAAATATTGTAAAAGCTAAATGATAATGATCATTTTCAGTTTATCTAAAATTAATTTCATCAAAATCTAAAATTTATTAATTTTAATGGCTTTTTGGGTTGATTGATAAATCTGCGTAAATTATCTTTATTGTATTTTCAAAAAGGATGCGAATTTTCAGTGATCCGTTAACAATAGATTTAAAGTGATGGAACATAATGAAGCATGTCTACTTATAACAGAATTTCAAATCTGTAAAGTCGGCTGTTGTCAAAGACAATAGAAAGTGAAACATATATAGCAATGCCACATGTTCAAGAACTTGTAGCATTATTGCAATTATTCTAAGAAAACACAGGCCAGATCTTAGAGTTAAATATGGTTCTAAAATGAACTCAGCACAGTTAGTCAGAAATTGTGTTCATAGATGGAAACATTTGCAGTTGAAAGCATTTATTAATTATCTAAAAATAGGCTTGGCACTAGCGCGTGATATTTCCTTGTAGAACTGTGGCCTGCTGTAGGTGAAGGCTTAACTTCATTAAAGCGAACTGATTATACAAACAACTCATCTTCCAAGTGCAACATATAAGAGTTTATTCTGGGATGCAATATGTACGCTTGTAATCTAATTATAATTTCATTGAGAGCTTCATACTTGTGGGAAGAAGCATGGACAGCGTGAATCAGTTCGAATCGTATACTTAATACGACATTGTCATCAGCTTGTGCAAGGCTTGAAAAGGGAATTCTACTGTAGCCATTGAAAATCAGGTGCACCTTTGACCGTCAGGCCATCCATCCATAATGCCAATTGAAACGATATGTTTGCATAGGTTCCACTTTCCGCTTTGCTATTGTTTTCAGCTACTCAAAAACCAATAAATTCCATTGAGCAGACCAAATCGCCATCAGTCGGACCAAGCGGCCAGTGTCAAGTGGAGAAGAAATGTAAATTTTGTAGCAGCAATTTAACTGTGTTAAGGCAAGTCGTCCATACATACTACTGAGCCAGCGGCAACTGTGTGGGCAAAAGTCAACATTCAGGCAGCAGGAAAGTGGCCGGCAAGGGTATGCGTGTACTGCAAATGATGGCCATTCATTGTGTCCACTGAGAGGCAGCCTGGCTGGCCATTCTCCATTGGCCATTGGCCATTGCCCGTTGTAGTCAAGCTGGTCACTCAGTCAAACGACAGTTGGAGATGACGCTTCCATTCCTCTAGCTTAGCCTGCACTTGATGCTCGCTTAATGCCGTTGTTAACAGCATTAGTAGCACTTTGGCCTTTAACGAGCAGCGCAGCACAGAGAGGGAAAGTTTGACACAATGTACTAACAGCACACGATTCCTGACATGGCTCTGACATTTACCGTGCACATGTGGCAGGAGCCAATTAAAATAAGTTGATGTGTCCTCAAAGTTCTAATTGGTATATACCAACAGCAACACCTGGCTGTATAAATATAAATACATGTATATATGTATGCCAGCATTAGAGAATCATGTTATTGTCTTTCCTTTTAATAAGTGCAGAAGTAAACTTTCTTAATTACAGCTTATTTGTCATTGTTCTGCTCGAAAAGTGTACGAAAGTAATTTTTGGGTTCTGAGTTGTTGCTCTTGCTGCTGCTGTTGCCGTTGCTGTTGGAAGGGCACAAACTTTTAATCGACACCAATTTGTCAACTGCGTCGCTGCCCAAAGCAGTCAGGGGCAGAAGCTACTCCCCAGGCCCAATAAATTCAATATCTAAGTGTTTCGTAGAAGCAGCTGGTTACATTACCCACGCAAATTTATGCCAAAAAAAAAATTGATGCTCCCACATGAAATATGAGTCGGGGTACGCGCGCTTTGCATAAAATCCGTTGCAACATGTTCAATAAATTCTGAGGCGCAGTCTGTGGCTCTGTGGGTTCCGTGCAGGACTAATTTCCGGCAAACTAATAGATTTCTTCGTAGCGACACTGAAAACATAGCAGAAAATGCCGCGGCAAACTGTGCTGGGGTCACACGACTAAGCCATTTTTGCGTGTCATAGACGTGACATGACATAAAGTTAATTAAGCCCCTTTTGCCGGGGCAACAACAACATGCAGTTGACTTGACATCACGAGTGCTCTTTGCAGTAATTAGTTAGTTCCAACGCACGTAGATGGTCTCATTCGAACCGCACTTGCAGTTGCATTTGAAGTTGCAGCTCAATGTGCGCTAAAAGCTGCAGCTCGAAGCTGATTTCTCTTTTGCGTAAATTAATTAAATATTTTTTATGTGCATCAACGTCGACAGACTAAGCCATTAACACCATTGGCCCATCAGGCGTATACGCAATAAAGTTAACTTTTAATACGCTCCAAAAAGTCTTGAGTTTTCCAATTAAAGGTGACATTTGCAGCCTGAATGAAGCTGCAAACTTTTTGTTATTTTTTAATGAGCTAATGAAAAAAATATATATCTGTTGAAAGCTAATTTGAACTTACTTTGATTTATATTTAATTCAATTTATATCTTAATTTTACTCTTTTTAAATTTATTGAGAAGCCAAAGAGTATTTTTGGCCCTGTTGAAGAGCTACGCTAGAACTGTTATAAGTTCTGAAAATGTGTAGGCTTCTTTTTACCAGAGCTGCAATTCTCAACTTGTTGATAGCAGTACCATCTGCTAATGCTCGAACGGGAAGGCTACCAAAAAATAATCAGCTAATTTTTTTATTACATTAATATACAGTACCTTTTGTTTTTATATTATTCAAATAATAATTATATGCATAATTATATTATAGTTTTTTTTTTTTTTTTTGTATAAACATATAGATACATAGATACATGGATATAGGAATATATTTATATAAATATATAAATAATATAAACTCTGACAGTAAGACCTCATTTTATTTATATTTAAATAGAAGTTAATACTTGCAACATAGGACAAAATAAAAGAGAGCGGAAGAGTTTTTTTGTTGAATAGGCTGTAGAACACAATTGTAACATACAATTTGCTCTACAAACATTAAACAAATTTTTGATATTAGCCTAACATGATCCCATGAGAATCGCAGAGAGGGCATAAGTAAAGAAAACATTATATACATTTCATTGAAAGATTAGCTATAATCCTTTACGGACAGCGTATTAGTATGCATATTAGGCAGCATCGTGCAAGAGGCAAGCAAATTTTTGGTTAATATTTGATAAGCTCTAAAATGCCGCAGCAGAAAAAAAGTGTTTTATAGCAAGAGAGACGGTGCCTGTTGCTGGTCAGACGACCCTTTACTCGTATTTTCTGCTATCTCATGATTAAGTCATGATATGCTCGTACTCTGTGAATTGTTGTATTAGAAACGGAATGTAAATATTTGGGAAAAGTCACGGCTAAACGCGAAAATCTGTCGGCTTTGCCTGTGGACAATAAATATTTGAACGGGCTGCCGAATACCTTTTACGGCATTTCCGGATTCTAGTTGGCGTAGGTGTCAAGCTGTTGTTGATACTGCCAGAGTTGGCGGCGTTTTAATTAAGTCATAATATTTAAGAAACTGAGATGCTCAAACAGAGATACGAGACGTGCAGGCAGAAAAGTTTTCATGAAAAGCACGTTTCCCTACAGCTGGTGCTGATTTTCATTATTATATCAAGTGAGAAAATGCTTTTAAAGTACCAATGAATTATTCTAAATGAATTTCGAATGCATGATAAAGTCATTAATATATGCACGTAGCTTTGCACGCTCCAAGAACTGTGCGCATAAATCAAAAAATCATTTTAAAGTCAGCAGTAAATAAAAACTTTACTGAGCTCAGTCTGAGCTTTACATAGATGTGTGTGTGTCTGTGTGTGTATGTGTGTGAGATAGTATTAAGATATAGGTGTCGTTGACAAGCAATAATAATTTTATGAATAACTCTGACCAGCTGCTGCCACCTAAAGTCACTAGCAATCCCTCAACTTTAACAAAAGAATTCCATCGACAGCTACTGGAGGCAGCTGTTACCCTGCAGTTGGGCTGTTCATCCTGGCATGCCGAATCCCATTCAGCGACAATGTTATTATGCAAATGAGCTGCCTCCGAGTGTTTTCAAAGGGATCATATTTATCATTTATTTACTGACTGTCATCAGCTTTGACGAATCCTGCGAATTGCTAAACAGCCTCTTGATTGACTTTACAATTTACTTCTGTGCGCGTCAAAGATTAATGACGTCACTTGGGTATAAAAATCATCTGTAGGTGTGTGTGTGTGGTTATGTGTATGTCTGTGTGGGAGTATGTGTGTGTGTGTGTGTGTATGTGTGGGCGTGCGCGTCGTACCGTGAAGCATTCTGCAGCTTAAAGTTAGGCCACCAAAGCCAAAGCCGCCACTAATTGACAGTTTCATAAGCATACAACTACGGCTCACCATGCCCAGCTCGTTATAGACCAAAATCGCGTCGGTTTTTTCGAGTGTTGCGCAAACAATTCGCCAAACTCAGCCACAAATACAATTATTTTTTTTCGACTACAGAGGGTTGAGAGTTGCGAATCCACATTCATCAATTTAACCGCCGCTGCTGCCTGTTCGCGAACCCAAATGAAAAACAATTTCACTTAGTGCCCCGAACGCAACCTTTTGTCAATTAGGCGAAGATAAAAATAATGTGAAAATGAATAATAATAAATGAATAAAAATAATAAAAAAAAGCGAAATTGTGCCTAGTCATAGACGAAGAGCTGGGCTGAAATATGACCTCTTTTAAACAGGAGCTCCTTATGTTCGAGACTTGGATTCGCTTGGTGAAATTTCTATTTTCAAATTTCTCACGAAAATAAATCATTTTTGAAACTGTAATAAAATCTGAATAGCTCTTAAGCTCTTGAAGCCTTCAGGCTTGAATTCATTTTGATTCGTGTGTAGTGCTTATAGCTAGTTTTAAAATCTAATCAATATGCTATTTTCTTTTAGTAAATCATTTGCTATATGCTAGAAAATCGTTTTGAATTCAATTTTAAATTTTAAAGTTACCCAATTACTTTCAGTAAACACAGAATATTAATGAAGTAGCCAAAAAGCAATTCATAAGCTGAATGATTTGATTTCGACCCCATGTTAAGGGACATTGTTTTCTCTTGAGCTTCAGTCCGTGGCTATTTTTAAATTATTGAGTTTTTAAGCTAAAAATTATTTATGCTTCATATTCAAGACGCAAAAGCACTTAAGTTTTTTGTGTCCTGGCGAGCTGCAAGTTGCGCGTGTGGTCATTGAATTGTTCGTCTAGTGGGCCAACTAGTGGGTCGGCGTTTAATTAAAAAAGCCAATTGTCCAGCATCAACAGCTGCATTGGGCCTCAAGAACATTGCCCTGCTGACCTGCCCCCTCTGGTAGCAGCTGGCCAGGGGGTCTGCTGTTAGCATGTGATCCAACTACAAAACGCAACTTTGTGTTGTTGGCATTGCTGTGATGTTGTGGCTCTTGTTGCTTAGTGAAAAGCTGTTATTAGCTCGACAGCCTGCTGATTCCTATCGCAGTCGGGTTTTGCTTTTGTCAACAACATTTGTGGCCCATTTTGAGTGCATATCTTTGCCGTCGCCTGAATGACAGCAGACGGCGCGCCGTCAAAGAGGCTATTCAAGCTGAAAAAGTCTATATTTCTTTACACTTTTAATCTTTCACACAGGCCTGGCCCACAGTGAAGCGCTCCTTTGAGCTATACCCGGGTGCTGCAATGCCCTACAACGTGCACCGAATTGCAGGTAAGAATAAAGCGCGCACGCATACCTGTATATAAATATGCGGTGGGTGGAAGGGTGGCCGGAAAAAGCACTAACGAATTGGTAGGTAAAAGTTTTAGTCAAGTGCCTTTGGCAGAGATGATGCACTTTAGCGGTTGTCGAGCGTCCATACACTAAGAAAAATCAAGGCAATGGCAAGGGAACTACAATCGTTATATAATCTAATTTAATTCACAAATATTTTTAGAAATCGTAAACGAGAATCTCGGCAGTGGACAATATTTTCATTAGATCATAGTTCAATTTGCATAACATTCAATGGAAATACTCGATTTTTGGTTAGTGTAACCCTTAGAAAATATTTGCGGTTGGGCGAAATTGTCTTTCAAATTGCTTTTCCTCGCATGTTGTCAAGTGTTTTTCTTTTAACCACTTTAGCCGCAATGACATATACGTAATTTATTTACATAAGAGTTGCAAAATTGAATATACATGCGAGACATTCGAGCAAACGCAATATAAAATTGCACTTCAATCGAAATCTATGCGAAATATTCATGAATATTCATTCATCGATTGTCGTGGCAACAGCAAATCCGATGACCATTAAATTAAGATTGGGTTTCTAATGAAAAGCAACATATTGAATTTGCCAGTAAGCTAACTAAGAGAAGAAAACTAACTGCAAATCCATCTGACAGCATCTATAAATATAACCAAGCGAAGCTGGCCACGGGCCAGCAATTGGCAAGGAAACCACAGCTGTGTCCTTGGCCATTTCCATTCAAATAAACATAATAAAGTTGGAGAAATCTTAGTTTCTCTTGTTGGATTTATACTGTTTATTTATAATTTCTGTTCTTTGCGACTTTCACTTCTTCTTCTAGCCGACAAGTAAACAAGTCAAAGCTGAGATTGCGCGTTAATTTATTTATAGATGACATCATCTTGAGGCTTGAATTTTGATATAATTAATTATGCACAGAGCAAAAGGTACAGAAAGAGTAATGAGAAAACAGAAGATGAAATTTAAATAAAAGTGCTAGCAGTTTACAAGTGTTCGCTAAGCCAGTTGTCCTACCACCGCAACTTATATAATTAAAAAACAATTAAGTAGATTGTTTATAACAATATACTTTTTACCTAGTTTCTTTACGCGCTTTCAATGAATGTAGCTCACTCGATTGCACGCTTCAATCTTGTGCGAACTGGGGTATTTTATAGTCGATCATACCCGACTATAGCAGTCTTTCTTGTTTATGTATAATAAAATAAATAATTCAATGTCCTTAACACATTTAGCTAATCTGAACTTTCTAAGTTTAACTTTTTAAAACAAAGTCTAAAGTTAAAGTAATTTCATAAATTATAATCATAGTTTATAAATAATTTATAGTCCTTATACACAAACATTTAACACACTTCAATAGAAAACCTCTCAGCGAACAAAGACATAATAAGGAAAGCCATCAAATGAATAATGAATGAATATACCTCAAGCTGGAGCACAGAGTAGAGGACACTCCTCTGGGCCTTTTTGGTTTATTATAACAAACACTTAAGATCATTGTTTTAAATGTAGTTTTTAATGCCATTAAGACCAAAATTAATGGCAATCAGCATGAATGAATACATTATTGCATAATTATACCTATTGTAAATTCAATGTCAGTCGTTACTTATCAATTATGCATAATGTTGCTATACTTGCTAAGCGCTCTCAATTCAATTATCGAAATGCGCATATTGTGACAATTTAATGCAATTAAGAAACGTAATAAACAATTAGGCGCCAAATGTCCTAAATCCCCCACGCACACACTCAAACGCCATTGGGCTTCCACAGATACTTTTGCAAATATATGGAATATGCCAAACACTCGGGTCAGCATGACGAAGAGCAAATATTCTTGCTGAGCAAATCGTTTTGAATAGGAAATTTGAGTTATTGATATATAATACTTTTTATTATGTAATTATAAATTTTATGTAATATATAACATTTATAGCCTACAGCAAATATTTATAAGTAATTCAGAATATTTAACAACTTGGCTTTCTTTTAAGACAGCAAAATGGTAGTATAGTAATATAATATAATAATAATATATAATAATATATATAAAGTCGATGTTGTGGTCTAATAGCACCCAAATTTATTGAAAAGTCGGATTTGGTCATGTGTTACAGTTTTTTACGAGTTACATTGCCTCTGGATTAAACAGATCATCTTGCTAGAACTTTAGAATGAAGAACATAATTTTATAAATTTCGGTTTCTTAACTGACAATTATTTATATGACTATGACTATATATATTTTCAAATTAAAAATCCTTGGCTTCAATACCACGACCAGTATAGAGAAAGATACAACAATTTCTGGGCGTATTATAAAACTTTTTTAAATTTAATCACTAGAGCCTACACACAGGCATAGATTCGACATTCCAAGTCTCTTGCGTAGGGACATCTAGAAAAGCGTAGCGAAATATGATTCTACTTTTATGTTCAGATCTCTGTATGTTATAGATGAAAATAGAAAAATGTGTTTTACATTGTCGGCATTGCTGACTAGAAAATATGTAGTTGTACCGAAATAGTTTAACAATTTATTTACCCTAAACTAGGGTATACAAATACGAAGTGCCATGTGTACAGCAAGCGATTTTATGGGCATTCTGTTTGTGTTGCACACAAAATACGCTTAGGCTACACACGTAAACACACGCACACGCACACACTCAAGTTGCGTGTGTGACAGGCATGCGAAAAAGTCAAAGTCAGACTATAGTTTAATTGTTTTTGGCCAGGGAGAAGAGTAAACTGAATAAGCGAGTTCGTGGGTGTGTGGTGTGTGTGTGTGTGCGTGTGTGCTTGTGTTTGTGTGGGTTACCAAAATATAGCTAATAATGCGCGCCATAAATCAGGCAACAGTAGCCATAGCCAGGGAATTAAGTGGCATCAGCTGGACAGCCCGCAGGTCTGTGTATGATATATTAATTGCTGGATGCTAGCAACGAGCTTGGGTCAAAACGTGGCTCCAATTTGCATGTGTGCTTTGAAATCCAAGTGGGTTTCAATTAGTGCTTCAACGCACACACATAACAATGGGAGAAGCGTCGGCTGCAAATTGTTGCAGCTTCCACAATTGGTTAAATTGGTTTCATATGCCCAGCAGGCATTGAACCAAGACAGAATTCTAATCGAACTCCCCCACGCAATGCCATTGCAGACTGCATGCATGTGGCCTCTGAGCCAGGTGATTACATTTTCAAGAAGTCAGCTGCATCGTCGCCGTCGGCTCCATTGACCGCGCTCAATTACAAGAGGGATGCGACGTTGCTGGAGCTGGAGGCAGTTACCAGTGAGCAGTTGGAGGCAGCTGCTGCTGCTGCTGCCGCAGAGTCCGTCTGTGGTCTCTATGTGATTGGCGAGCCCGACACAATAGTCGAGATAACCATGAAACACTATGACGTCAATTGCGAGTCGGGTGGTCTGATGGCGGTGAGTAACGCAAGCATTAAATATTGAAATTGAATTTATAATTCAAGTACTCACGTCTGATTCTGTTACAGTTTGTGGATGGCTGGGAGCTAAATGGAGAGTACTTCCCGGCAATCAAGGATCATCATCGTGTGATCGAGGATCGCGTCTCTGAGTTCTGCAACAACAACAAGCAATGGTAAGAATATACACTCCTGATCCTTTATACTGCTCGTTTTTTAAACTATTTCCCTTCGCCTTTAAGGCCACGTTTTAGCAACAAGAAATTCTTCCGGTCCAGTCAGAATGCTGCACTTTTGCAGTACCGCATACCCACACGTGGTTCCTTTGTGGCCAACGTTCGCTTCCACAAGATTTCACAACGTAAGTACTCCATGTATAGACTCTGCAAGAGATTTAATAAAGCTCTTTGCGCTGCTCTCAGCTTGCAACATACTTGTCCAGGACACCGCCGCCATCTATCAGATGTCAAACTTTGGCCACGCTCGCAACTGCACACTCTCAGCACTTTTTCCGGCTGCCGTTTCTTTGGGATCTCTGCGCATTGGTGGCAAGACTGTTCGTGCTCAGGAGAAGATCAACTACGACGTGAGTATAGCCAGTGAAGAGTTAATATTATATTTGCTCTGACCGAAAGCACATTGCTTTTAGTGTCACCAATACGAGGATCGTTTAGATATTGGTGGCTCGGCAGGTCTCGACACCACCTCCATGGAGATAGCTAGTGCCGTATGTGGTGCCACCACCGAGCTGGGACCCGAGCAGGCTGTCTTCTGTGGTGTTACCAGCGTGCGCCTAGTGTCCACGGGCCGCTTCCAGAATCAGGCAGCTATCATCATACGCAAAGCCGATGAGCACGATCTGGACATAGCCACGCTCCTGTGCGCGCTATAAGCGGCTAATTAAACACACAAAGAAAGGGATGCGGCCGGCACAATGATTACAATTTGATGTTTGTAAATATGTATGTGGGTGGATAAGTAAGAACGATGGCACCAGAAAAACGCAACCCCAACCCATTTTGCTTGGTTATTATTGTAGCGCTTTACCCAATCCAAGCACAAAGTATTCACATGCCAAACTAAATAGCGAAAACCCCAAAAAGTAAATTCAATGTAATTATATGTGTATATCAAAGATTCTGAATGTTAAAACTACAAATTGGTTTTATTTGTTCAGCAGACATTGGCCGCGGTTTATGGCGCAATTTATGGACGCTCTGCTAATCGAACTAATTAATAACGATATGCTATAAATAATCAACTATAATCATTCAGCAGCCAGCAAAGATAAGACCTCGGGTTATTGCCTGTTCAATTGCAATTAAAGCAAGTAGCGCAACACAGTCAGCAGGGCCAGCAAGCTGGTGAAGCTGTAAGCCGTTAATGCAGCTGCACCATCGTCCTGTGGCCGCTTCTCCTTCTCCAGCTGAAACAGAGGATAACAGAAAAAAGCAGTTAGTAAAGGCGATAAAACTTGCAAGTCCAGGACGACTTACGCTCTCCTTGAGTATGGCCTGGAGCTCGCGACAGCGCTGCTTCTCATTGTAGTTGCTTGTGGCAATGCGGCAGATTGTGCGGCTCAGGCAGCTGTCATCGCAGCCGGTTTCCAGTTTTGGATCCGCCTCGGTCATCTTGTAGCGCCAGAAGAGTCGGAGCAAATCTGGCTTTTTAGCCATATCCTCAAGCAGTTGATCAATGCCAGCGGCGCTCGTGTTGCGCGTAAACTGTTCTCCAAACTCGTACTCCTTCTTCCAGCTGGGCGACTCGTTGGGCTTCAGATTGGCCTCGGTGAGATTGATTGTATAGGTGTGATGCTCCAGCACCTGCAATGTCTTCGAGTGCAGCTCGTACAAGCGATAGTTGGGATTCTTGTAGGAGTAGGTGGTCAGACTGCCGCCATTCCAGGAGACGGCCATAGCCAGGCCCGTGTCCGTATAGTGAACATTCATCTCATCCTTGTGAGTGTGTCCATTGTAGATGCCCGTGATGACTCTGCTGAAGCGAGCCACAATACGATTGTATTCCCTGGACCACTCAGACCAGCAGTCGGCATCGCCAGAGGGAATGTGAGTCAGGACTTGAACCCTTTCACCGGCTTTCTCAGCGGCGAGCAGCGTGTCGTGGAACCACTGCAGCTGCTCCAGCACAATAGAGCCGTTGTAGAAAATCCACCAGTTATACAGATAGCAATCCATGCTGTTGAGCGCAACGATGCGCTGTCCCTCTCTGAGGCGAAGCGTGTAGTAGCCTCCGCGACGTACGGTAGTCTCAGCTTCTTTGGGCAGCCACTTGGACCACAGGCTCCACACATGCTCATACAGCCAGTCAACTCTTAGGGAGGCAGGTATCTCATCGTTGCCAAATCTGAGCGGAAGAGATTAACATCCCATAGTAGAACTGGTGGGGAGTAGACTTTGGCTTGTTACTTACACATTCGCTGGATGCGGCTCATGGTTGCCCAGACAGGGATAAACTGGAATCTTGGGAAAGTGTTCTGCGAGCAGTTGATCGATCTCCGTGAGCATATCCATGTTTCCCTGCCGCGTGGTGGACCACACATTGTGTGGGGGCACATCGCCCGTGTGGTAGATCCAATCCAGCACGTGCTCCTTCTTTATTTGCTCGAGGGCATTCACGATCAGGTGCTTGGGTGTGTCGCAGTCGCGATAGTCACTCCAGTAGCCGGCGCCAGTTGTATTGGCATCTGCTGGCAGATTGTCGCGGCAGCACATGGGCTCCGCACACTCCGCGAAGCCTCCGCTCTTGTACTCGGGATCGTAATGGATATCGGTTAGATGCAGAACATGATAATTATTATCGCCGCCTTCCGGCACTTCGGTATTGGATTCGGTGGGCGTATCACCAACAATGTTTACTTTTAGGTTAAACTCCGGCTGCTGCAGCTGGCATATTTTAATGGGCAGCATGCTGCAAATGCTTTGCGACTCGGCGATCGTCTCGTTGAAGATGAAATCGAGAATCGGCCAGTTCAGATCGAATAGACCGGAGCATACCTCCTGCGTTTGAATGTTGAAGTAGTCGCAAATGCTCAGCAATGTCTTCTTGGCATTCTGATCGCGATTGGGTCCAGTCAGCTCGCCATTGGGGCCCGTAAAGGTGCGGCCAATTACGTTGACCGTGGCGCGGCACATGGTGCATGTGAAATACTGATCGACTGCACTTAGATCGACCAGGGGCTGAGTGAAAATGTCCTTCTGGCTGTGGGCCGTGCGCAACTCATTGCCCAGTACCTTTAATCGAGGCGACTCGATGCCTGTCCGCAGGTACTTCATAAATTCATAGCTAATCTCTTCCGCCACGCTGACTGAGAATGAAAACTCGATTAGAGAGAATCTTGATTTTCAGCTGCTGCACTTGAACGTATCAACTTGACGCGATAAGTAGATGTTTAACGCAAATCAATTAAATGCGCACCTGAAATGGCAGCCGTCAGACGCTCATCAGTGCTGAAACTACTCGGCACACCTGGCAGACTATGAGCCTGGCCGCAGGTGAGAAGGGAAGCCACGCCCAGCAGTAGCACAAGACTCCGCTGACGGTACATTGCGGATAAGCAATACGGCTAAGACTGACATCGGCACAACAAACAACGAATATTTATAGGCAACGCACCCTTATCAAGCGGCCTATCGCAAATGCTTAAATGTTATGACTGCAAAACATGATTGATACAATAGTACAAGAGATTTTTATGGTAAGTAATAAACAAGTAGCATAGCTACTGCTACCAATTTTTTGTCAAAAGAGAACAGAGCTTAGTATACTCGGTCTATCAAACAATTAATACAAAAGGCACCTCATACAAGTGTAATCCCTTAATCGACTTGGCCACTTCAAATTTTCAAATTTGATCTGATATAAGTCAATCTGATTAGCACTAAAAATAAAAACAAAGGCTCTGTGGACTGCCGTCAATGCGCACGTGCTTAACAGTTAACATTTGAGCTACCAACCATGACTTTGGAAATAAACTATAAATTCATATAAATATATTGGGAATATATGACTTTAGCTACATTTTATGGCTTGATTGGCTAATTTTGCCAATATGATGCTTAGCTTAATCAGTTAGCCCACAGTAGGAGCCTGAACACAGGCCCCACATGCACATTCTCTGGCAGTCGATAAGTGCTCGAAAATAATAGATTAACAAAGGCAAGTGGAATAAACAAGATTATGTGTGTGTGAGTATGTGAATATATTTTGGATTTTGTACTTTATCATGATACTAAGAAAATGGTATGTGCGATTATATAACTTATTATTAGTATATTAGAGCTAAAGTCCCTAGAAGCCAATTCGCATCGACAGGGCTAAGGCCAAGAGTGAGCTAATACTCAAAACACTAAGTACTGCCGCCCCATCATCTTTATCTTCGGGCTCCTTGTCCAACTGTAGATATCAAATGAAACCTAACGATTAGCTAAATGATATTTTACAAGAGAAGCAATAACTTACGGCTTCAAAGAGACGCTCTTTGAGCTCCTCGCAGCGCTCTTTCTGGTTATTCACAGTGGTCGCGGCACGGCAAAGTGAACTGGCCAAGCAATTGCGATCGCAGCCGGTCGTCAGCTGAGGCTCTGCCGAGGTTACCCTGAAACGCCAATACTGCAAAGAGAGTTGAATAATGTCAATATATAATATACACAATTAATAGATGTAACCAACCTTGCGCATCAGATCCGGCTTCTCAGCGAATTCATCCAGCAATTTGTCAATGCCGGCGGGACTCAGATCTTCAGTGAACTCCTTGGTGAACTCATACTCTAGGAACCAATTGGGCTGCTCATTAGGCTTCTTGTTAGCTTCATTCAACTCGTAAATGTAGGTCTGATGGTTGGTAACATCGTAAGTCTCGGCATTCACAGAGTATACCCTGTAATTGGGATTCTTGTTGCTGTATGTGGTCAAGGCACCACCATTCCAAGAAACCGCTGTAGCGTGGCCTTCCTCCGAATAGTGCACATTCAGCTCATCCTTGTGCGAGTGGCCATTGAATATGCCACTGATTGTTTTGTGGAAACGGGTAATACAGCGGTTATACTCTCTAGCCCACACCGACCAACAAGTGCCGGAGCCTGAGGGTATGTGGTTCAGGACATGCACATGTTCACCGGCAGCTTCGGCGGCCAGCAGTGTGTCGTGGAACCACTGTAGCTGAGGGATCTTGTCATTGCCGCTGTGGTAGAGCCAGAAGTTGTCCGTGTAGCAATCATTGCCATTCAACGCAATGATGCGGAAACCCTTCTCTGGCGAGACTGTATAGTAACCACCCTTCAAAATAGTCTCCTTGGTCTCTGCTGGAAGCCACTTGGACCAGTCGTTGTACAAGTGCTCGTACAGCCACTTGGTATTGACCTCATCCGGCACTCCTTCCGGACTGAAGCTGCACGAAAATCGACGATTAAAATAAAAAAATAAGCGATTTAATTTCTTACTTACAGATTGAGTGGATGTGGCTCATGGTTGCCAATGCAGGGATAGACTTGTGTTTTGGGAAACACTTTGGTAAACTGATTGGCAACCTTGCTTAGCACTTCAGTATTCTTCTTCACAGATGTTCCCCAGACCATGTGATCAACTACATCGCCCGTCTGATAGATATACTTGCACTCCACAGTTTTGGCTGCGTGATCAAGCGCCGACTCAAATGAATGCCAGGGTAAATCGCAATCACGATAATCGCCCCAGTATCCTGCAGCATCGCTGGTGCCCTCTGTGGTGTTCTTCCCACGTTGGCAACACATCGGCTCAGCACAGGCGGCAAGACTTCCCGGCTCATACAGCGGATCGTGATGTATATCACTGAACTGGCATATTTTGATGTCATTGGCGCTGTGAGACGGTGTATCCGTTTTGGGGCCATTTAGTTCAACACCATTGTCATTCACAGTCAATGTCCAGTTGTAGGCTGGGTTTTTGCCCGTGTTGCAGAAGCTAACCTCCATGAAGAGGGAGCAAAAGGTTTGCGAATCGATTTCTGAATTGCGCATTATGTACTCCACAGTTGGTAGATTGGAGTCGATCAGACCCTCGCACACCTCCTCCGTTTGGAGCTCCATGCGGCGGCACACGTCCATCGCAATTTTCTTCATGATGGCAGCTTTGTTGTCGCCAGTCAATTCACCGCCTTCTTCGCGGACGGAACGAATTAGAACGTTAACAACAGAGCGACATAGTGTGCAAACCACAAAGCTATCGCGCGTCTCCAAGTCGGGTAGATTTTTGGTAAATATATCCTTTTTGGTATGTGCCTTAGCCAGTTGATGTGTTAGTTTTTGAAACGCTGGAGTTTCTACTCCTGTCTTCAAAAAAGTATAATACTCTTGCTCCAAACGTCCAGCTACATCATCAGAGATGGCCGAAAGCACCTTATCCTCCAAGTTGAACTCTACCGGGATTCCTGGCAGGTTAACCGCTGATGCAGCTATAAGGCCACACAGTAACACAATCAAACACTTCATGACATTCATGGCATACTGAAAAGGCTGCCCACCTGCGCACCAATTTATAGGTTTTGAAAGGCCATTAACGTCACCTTATCGCTTATGTACGTCCCCATTCACTTCGATATTTTACTCCCACATGTTTGATAAGACTTAATCAACACATTTTCAAAAATGGGGCTAATCACTTGGACTAACTGCAGTTTTATTCTGTATCTAAAACCGATTTAGAATAATAACAGTAAGCACTTAAACATTTCTTAGATTATTTTCCAGTACATAATTTATAGCCGATAATAATAATGAGTGACATATGATTAATATATTAATCATACTTGTGCATTCCATTGTATTTTTGTGCTTTAGCCATAAAAATAAATTTATTTTGACGAAGACCTTTTTGAAAAAACAAACACGCGCCAATATCGATTGTGATTTTTTATAGTTATCGCTTTGTTGCCATTGTGAACTAATACAAAAAATCGACAAGACCGACCTTAATTGCAGTATCGTGTATTGACAAACATTTAAAGAATTATTTACTCTAATGCAACCACAAAATTCGTCATAAGCCCAAGAACGAAGAATACATTTATACAGGCATAAATATATATGATTAATAAAACACAGATTAATACAGTTTAGGCCTTTAATAGCACTGTATAATTAAAATACCAAATCCACTGAGCATTGCTTTGTGCATGCATGCATGGCAACCCTACCGGAGGGCAGCTGGCATCATAATTCTAAACAGCTGAGTTATTAGCCATTAAAACACGAGAGAAAAAAGACCAGATTATTTAAGACAAGGATCATTGGAAAATTATAAGAAAACCAGGAAAAATAATAGATTCATTAAGAAGACGAAAATATTTTATACGCATTGCTGCGTATGTGGTTGTAGCTGTGTGCGTGCATGAGAGGCGTGAGTAATTGTATGCGACGATAGCAAACACAGGAGCCAGTGACGCCATTTTCTGTGCGAATTAGCAGAAAAAAATCTGAGCAGGTGGGGCAAAACAGACGCAACGGCAACGCCGCGTGACCAATAACTGAGCAAAGAAGAGAACGGACACATACACACAGGCATTCAATGAGCAGTCTAATAAACTTTCTTAATCCGAAACTTAAGCCCTCTGTGGAATGCGATGCCGTCTGCGAGGATGGATACACAGCTGCAAACCTCATATCAGACAATGAGGAGCACATGGAGCGAGGGTTTATGTGCTTTGCTGTATGCAAACCGCCAGTTGAGATTGTCTTTGACTTTCCCAAGGCCATCGATCTGAAGGTAATTAAGCTGTGGCCCAGCTCTGGGGCTTTGCGCTCCACTGGCTTCGAGGTACATGGAAAATATGACGGCATATGGGAGCGTGTGGCCTATGTCCGTGACCTTCCCAAGGGTATGGATTCGGTAACGTTTTGCTATCAAAGCGATTATAATTCGCGTAGCAGTGCCGCCGCTTCGCAACAGCACAGCGAAAAGGTGTTCTTCTTCAAGACGGCCCACAAGATATTGGCCGCAACGAACAGCGTCAAGATTGTGATTCGTGCTACAGAACGCTGTCCGCCGGTACTCCGCAAGATACAAATGTGGGGTCTGCCGGCTCGCAGCCTAGATAAAGCTGATCGTGAGCTAATGAAAACTATATGGAGCGAAATAAGTGATCCGTATGGCCTCAGGGACCAAGCGCAGCAGCAGCAGGCAGGCCAACGTTCGCCTTCGCGTCACATTCCGGAACTACGCGAACAGTCGATGCTGGAAATACCAGAGGAGTTTCTTGATTCCATAACCTGGGAATTAATGGTGCGTAGTTTTTATCTTTCTATAGTAGCTCTAACTTACATTCTCCCATTCTGGCCTCTCTTACTGTGGATTTCTTTTTTGTAGATATTTCCTACGGTGTTGCCATCTGGTAAAGTTGTCGATCAATCCACCATAGATAAGCACTCGGAGGAGGAGGCCAAGTGGGGTCGCCTGCCTTCCGATCCGTTCACGGGACTTGAATATACCTCACAACGTAAAGCAATATTAAACCTGGCGCTTAAGGCGCGTATCGAAAAGTTTCTAATGGAGCACTCAGAGCACTTCAAGTCTGTGCCTCGTTCACTGGGCAGCTCACGTATGCGTCGTCGCCATGCATCTCAGTTTGCTAGCCATATGTGCCTGCCGGGCAGTATGAGCGTAGGCACATACTCCACATTAAGTGGCGTTTACAAGCACCAGCAACGCAAGACCAAGTCAACAGTCACTGCCACAGCCACATCGGCATTCTCAGGTTCCCTTTCTCCAATTTCGCCCCCGGTTGCTAAACGTGCGCGACACAGCTACTCAGCATATGGAGTCAGTGCTACTGTTACCGCCAGCAGCGCCAATCAATCACCAACGACCTCATCAGCTACAGGCACAACGTCTTCCATTGACCAAGCCTTGCAACAGGCTCTGCAAAAGATCACCCGCTTCACCCAAGTGAGCATGCCCTTGCAACCAAGCTGTATTAACTGCCGCAGTGGCCAGTTTGCCTACGAGATACGCACCTGTCGGCACTTGGTTTGCCGCGAATGCCTCGTCATCCTCTCCACAGCGCAGCAGTGTGTTTGCAAGATGTCTTTTCAGGGCGCTGACGTGGAGCGCTACCACAAGCTGCCGTAGTCGTGCCTACCTTTACAGCATAGTCTCGTATTCTAGTGCTTCAATATATTTAGGTTCGTGTATAGGATTTTTTGTTGCCAATCTTCAATTTTCAGATACCAACGAACCAACGCATTTGGCGTTTTGGTTTTCATTTTCCTTCTTTTTTTTTAATTTTTGTCTTCTCTTTTTTGATTATTAAGTTCGTAAGTTCGTAAAAATAGGTCTTAGAATAATTTATAACCATATCAGCGTCGATTTTAGCAAGTGCTGAGATTTTTTATTCGAAGCCAAAATACACTTGGAATGGCGGAATGGATGCTCATTCCCACTTATCAGTATCAGGTCACACTTAGTCGGCAATGCGATTAAACTTACATTATATAGTATATGTATAATCATAGAGCAGATAAAGCGCGCATAATTTTTGTAGACTTTATACAACCCATAATTGGAAGGACGAGATCAAGCGCGAAGTTTATATATTCATAAATTAAATAAAGTTTAAAAAAAAATACAAAATTAAGTTTATTTAATTACAAACCAAACAGTTTTATCGATGACTTAAGGCAACTATTATTCAAATCTATTTGAATTTTAAGACGCTATACAAGCATACACTTGCATATGTGTGTATTTGCAATTGTATGTTAAGCAGCCTAATAATTCGTTTGTCTGGCAACGCTACTTAAAAATCTAACAGAGCTGTGTGAAATAAATTTAATGCATCTGAATGGATGGAACGGCTGATGCTACGCCACAGCCGAGGCGTCGTTTGGGTTTAAGACTAGTTAGAAAGGCTCACACGACGCCTGGGCTTCGTCAACAAATAATACAGCAGACAGCAACACCACAATCGCAAGATAATAAAGACAAATACTCTGGTGCTGTTGAAACCCCACGTGCGCTGCCACTGAATGTGAAGGCAAACTCAACAATTTGTCGACGTCCTGGCTTGGCACGCAAGCGCAAGGATCTTACTAAGAAGAGACTGGAATTTGCCATTACTGAGAAGCTTGAAGACACGCCTAAGACACAAGAACACAAGTCGTCTGACGAAACTATAAAGCCAGACCTTAGCAATTGGAGAGAGCGTCAAATAATTGAACTCGAATCCGATATAGATACATGGAGAAATGGCTTCATTGCTGCAATGGATGATTTACAGAAGTTGGTTCAGCCTGGAGTTACTAAACAAACGTTGCTCGCCCAATTGGGCATACCTTTAGAAATGCTTAAATACTTAGATGAAGACTGATATAAAAAATTACATAAAATTAGTATTAAAATTTATTTCGGCAAACAAAACAAAACGAAAAAACGTTTAATATTTATGTGGCCGTACAGGCTTTTCAGGATCAAAGAGCTTGGGATCTTGAAGGAATTCCAAGTCCTTGTGGTAGCCCGGCATTAGCAGGCAGTGCTGGGCTCGTAAAATCGCTTTCTCCACTTCCTCCTGCTTTTGCTTGCATAACCCGGTTATATGGCGTCCGTAAATGCGGCCCGTGTAGGACGATTGGAACTGCGACAGAAGCTTCACGTTCTTATAGTGAGGTGTTATGTTGTGCTTACACAATATACACTGCTGTGGGTCTTTTTCAAAGGGGTTCGGTATATCAATCGGTTCATCGGCCTGCTGTGATGTTGCTGTGATTTCCTTCTCATTCAGAGCTGGTGCACTGGCGAACGAGCGAGGTAATAGGTGGCGCGTGGCCAGCAAATTGCCCACATTAGCTACAGGGAACAACACTCTTAAAAATATTTTATAATTTATTAGAATGTAATTTACCATTTCGAGCTACAAGCTTTGTTAACTTAAACATCTTCAGCTGCGATGAACATAAGGCATAAAAGTGAGCATGTTGTCGTTCGCAGCTGTTTACTTTTATGATATGTCCGCCCTGGTATATTTAAGTCAACAGTCTGGCAACCTTTTATTGTACTGCGCAACGCTCAGATATTGAATATATATTGAATTGAATTGTGAATATTAAACTTATGTATAGATAGAAAGTAAACTATTTACTTTGTATTTGTTTCAAATAAAACAATCTTATTTACACATGAATTTTTTATTTTTACTACCAATCTGTCTCGGGCATTACATCTGAAGAATAAGTGAACTTTCTGGGCTTAGGTTGAATTATTTCTTCCACAAGTACAGCATTTTTTATAGCAGTAGTCGTTGTCTCTACAGTCGTTGTTTCCTCGATAACAACCGTTTCGGTAGTAGTTTCAATTGTAAAACTCTTGGTAGGGATAAATGGTATTTCAGTTGTCGTACTTTCTGATGATGCTGTTTCCATTGTGGATGTAACGGCTAGATTCGTGGTTGTATCTTGTACATCGGTTGTTGTTTCGATAAGGGAAGATGCAGCCAGTGGTGATTCAGCTGTTAAAGCTAATTGTGTGGTGGTATCTGGCAAATCGGTCTGAGATGATGTAGTTAATGCTGGCTCCGTTGTAAAGAATGGTAGAGACGTGCTTGTATCTGGCAATTCGGTTGAAGTTTGGGTCGCTGATTCAGTCGTGGATGTAGGAAATTGGGTTGTGGTACCATCCTTGTCTGTGGTAGTTTCTTGTTCAACTGACGTTGTTGTTTGTGGCTCTTGAGTTGTGGAAATGGGAACTTCGGTTGTTGAATTCAAATCTGGCTGAGACAATGTTGCTGGCAGCACAAAGTTTATATTTGTGGTGATTTCAACATTTGTCGGTGAATCTGAGGTAAGTCCATTCAATTGACTTTTCATATTTTCCACTTCCATTGTTGATGCTGGCTGGGCTGATGTTGATTCTATAGTAAAGGTGTTTTCCGTGCTAGTATCTATAAATGATGTTGAGCTGGTCTCGGTTGTTGTTTCAGGCTCAGGTGCCAAGGAAGTTGGTGTTATGGCAACCTCGTATGTTAGGTTTCCATCGGTTGTAGAACTATTTGAATAGTCCTCTTCCGTGCTCGGGACTAAGGTATCATAGTAATATGAGGTGGTTGTTTCAAAGCCTGGTGTGGTTCCAATTATGGATAGCAATGACGTGGATATCTCGGGGATTTCTGTGGTGCTCGTGGATGTTTCAGTTGTCGAATAAATGGATATATCGCTAGTTTCTTCAATATAATTTTCTGCGTTAGTATTGTCCCAATCGACGTTATTTGCGGGAAATGGAGTTGTCGGCTCTGGCACTGCCGGTAATAATAATGTTGGCGGAATTTGCACTGTATTTGAGTTGTTTGATGGCTTATATGGCACATATTTCTTTACATTATACGGCTTGTGAATGCTAGCGTAGTATTTTGACAAGAGAAATAGGGCTTCGCGGGTAGCAATGCTATTTGTAAGAGAAGCTCCTTTTTCAGAAACTAAAACGTTTCCAGTAATAATGGAAATCGAATATAGAACTGGCAGAAAAACTAACCACACATTCATTTTGATGTGCTTGACGGGAAAATGCGCGGTTGACTAATTACCTTAACAAACTGTCGCTACGTTGAAATCTTTATTTGCCTACCTGAGGTCTATCGTGCAACAAGTTTCCTTTACCTGTTAAGGGATAGCCAGACTAATTATCATCTGGACGGCTGCAAAAAATTCAGAGAGGAGGCATTCAAATATTTTTTCCCGCCAGGGCTGGCTTAAGTAATTATTAGGTGTGGTTGGCAACTATATAACACTTTATCATATGGTCACACTGTTACCAGCCAGCTGTTTGCTTAATTTGAAAGAAGAAGACTGGCGTGCATCGTATTCCGCGTTTTCTGTTGGAAATATTTATAGTATAACAAATAACAAATATACCTTATTGTAAATTCGCTTCATACTGTTGAAACGTGGTAAAAAACTAAATTGTAATCGAGGTAAGCAGTTGGTTCACCTAATTGAGCTTGTTCGACGGTGCCGGCTTTGCCGAGTAAACGTTTGGCAAATTCTCATTAGGGTGACCCGCGTTTTTTTTTAAACAATTCTGCGCGTCCATTGGGGTGGATAAACACAATATTCAATTAATTTGTGTACAATTGCAGCATGGATTCCGATTTGTATGATGAGTTTGGCAACTATATAGGACCTGACTTGGACAGTGATGAGGATGATGACCAGAGTATTTATGGTCAGCCCGATGTGCAAGACGACCAAGATGTAAGTACCTAAATATCCAAATCATTCAATTGCTTATATATATATATATCATTTTAAAGGAAGATGCCATGGACGAGGACGAAGCAGAACCGCAAGATGATGAAGATAAGGAAGTAACGGCAGTTGTGCTACATGAGGATAAACGTTACTATCCATCGGCCGTTGAGGTGTATGGGCCGGATGTGGAGACGATTGTGCAGGAGGAAGATGCACAACCGTTGGATAAGCCGCTCATAGAGCCCGTGAAAAAGCTGAAATTCCAGATTAAGGAACAGGATCTGCCTGAAACTACTTATGATATGGAATTCATGGCTGATTTGATGGACACGCCGCCATTGATTCGAAACGTTGCGCTTATCGGTCACTTGCATCATGGCAAGACCACATTTGTAGATTGTCTAATACGTCAAACGCACCCGCAGTTTGAGAACATGGAGGAACGCTCGCTGCGCTATACCGATACGCTATTTACGGAACAGGAGCGCGGTTGCAGCATCAAGGCCACGCCGGTTACGCTTGTATTGCAGGATGTCAAACAGAAGAGCTACTTGCTAAACATCTTCGACACGCCCGGTCATGTTAATTTCTCGGATGAGGCAACCGCTGCAATGCGGATGAGTGACGGCGTAGTGCTTTTTATTGATGCTTCCGAAGGAGTGATGCTCAACACCGAACGACTGCTCAAGCATGCTGTTCAGGAGCGGCTAGCTATCACTGTTTGCATCAACAAGGTGCGTATATTGACTGCCGTAAGAATATAATTTGAACTTTATTTTCCATTTAAGATCGATCGCTTGATTTTGGAGCTCAAGTTGCCACCTCAAGACGCTTACTTTAAGTTAAAGCACATTGTCGAGGAAGTCAACAGCTTATTAAGGTTTGTAGATGGATTGTTTCTTGTAGATAATCGTTTTAAATGATTATTTGTATTACTCCTGATAGCACCTACGGCAGCGCGGATGATAATCTGATGGTATCACCGGTACTAGGTAACGTGTGCTTCGCAAGCTCTTTGTACGGCTTTTGCTTCACCCTAAAGTCCTTTGCCAAGCTCTATGCGGATACGTATGAAGGCGTCAATCACAATGAATTTGCTAAACGCCTATGGGGCGATATGTACTTCCATAGCAAATCGTAAGTGTGGATTTAAATGCTTTCTAAGAGTTTATAATTTAATTCTTAAACGTCAACAGGCGAAAGTTCACCAAAAAGCCGCCACATAACTCGGCACAGCGCAGTTTTGTTGAATTTATACTTGAGCCTATGTATAAATTGATTGCGCAAGTGGTGGGAGACGTAGACACTACGCTGTCGGACACTTTGTCGGAGCTGCATGTGCGCGTGTCAAAGGATGAAATGAAGTCCAACATAAGGCCATTGCTACGCGTGGTCTGCAATCGTTTTATGGGTGATTGCAGTGGTTTTGTGGATATGTGCGTGGAGCACATTAAGTCACCGTTGGAGAATGCCAAGCGCAAGGTGGATCACATATATACGGGCCCGAAAGAGGGCGACATTTACCGTGATATGATCACGTGTAATCAGTACGGCACGCTGATGGTGCACAGCTCTAAGATGTACCCCAACGACGACTGCACTTTCTTCCAGGTGCTTGCACGCATTGTGTCCGGTACACTGCATGCCGGGCAAGAGGTCCGCGTGCTGGGCGAGAACTACACACTACAGGACGAGGAAGATTCTCGGATTCTACAAGTCGGTAGGCTTTGGGTCTATGAGGCGCGCTACAAAGTCGAATTGAATCGTGTGCCCTCCGGCAATTGGGTGCTCATCGAAGGTATTGATCAGTGCATAGTAAAGACGTCCAGCATTGTGGACATCAATGTTCCAGAGGACCTTTACATATTCCGACCGCTTAAGTTTAATACTCAAAGCATTATTAAGATAGCAGTGGAGCCGGTGAATCCCTCAGAGCTGCCAAAAATGTTGGACGGCTTGCGTAAAGTGAATAAATCTTATCCGTTGCTTTCCACCCGTGTTGAGGAGTCTGGCGAACACGTTATCTTAGGCACGGGCGAGCTCTACTTGGACTGTGTCATGCATGATCTGCGCAAGATGTACTCAGAAATCGATATAAAGGTGGCCGATCCAGTAGTGGCATTCTGTGAAACCGTTGTGGAAACCAGCTCATTGAAGTGTTTCGCTGAGACGCCAAATAAGAAGAACAAGATAACGATGATATCAGAGCCGCTGGAGAAAGGCTTGGCCGAAGACATCGAGAACGAGACTGTCTGCATCAATTGGAATAAGAAGCGCATCGGCGAATTCTTTCAAGTTAACTATGATTGGGATTTGCTGGCAGCACGTTCCATTTGGGCTTTCGGGCCGGATAGCACTGGACCCAACATTCTGGTGGATGATACACTGCCTTCCGAGGTTGATAAAAATTTACTGGCTGCGGTCAAGGATTCAATTGTGCAAGGCTTTCAATGGGGCACACGCGAAGGACCGCTCTGTGAGGAACCCATACGCAATGTTAAGTTCAAAATTTTAGACGCGGTCATAGCTAATGAGGCGCTGCATCGTGGTGGCGGTCAAATCATTCCCACAGCACGTCGCGTCGCCTACTCAGCTTTCCTAATGGCCACGCCCCGTTTGATGGAGCCCTACCTGTTTGTCGAGGTGCAGGCACCGGCGGACTGTGTGTCAGCGGTCTACACTGTACTTGCGCGTCGCAGGTAAGAGCTTAAAACGTTGTTCTGCTCCACACGTGTTCATTTAATCTATGCTTTCAGAGGTCACGTAACGCAAGATGCGCCAGTTTCGGGATCACCCATTTATACAATCAAAGCATTTATACCCGCCATTGATTCCTTTGGTTTTGAGACAGATCTGCGGACGCACACCCAAGGCCAGGCCTTCTGTCTGTCTGTATTCCATCACTGGCAAATTGTGCCAGGCGATCCGTTGGACAAGAGTATTGTCATACGACCGTTGGAGCCACAGCAAGCCTCTCATTTGGCTCGTGAGTTTATGATCAAGACACGTAGGCGCAAGGGACTCTCCGAGGATGTATCCATTAACAAGTTCTTCGATGATCCTATGTTGTTGGAACTGGCGCGACAAGATGTACTACTTAATTATCCATTATAATTTATGGTTTTTAACTATCCAATAAAATACGTAGTGCAGAACGTTTTCAATGGAACATGAAGCATTTATGAATTCAAAGAATTAAATCTATAAAAATAGATTTTTTGTTTTTTTACCGAAGGTTGACTCTGATACTTAGTCGTCCACATATAAGGAATATGAGAAGTCAAAAATTTATTTCTATAAAATTCCTGTATATGAATCATATTCTTTCGTGATTATCGATCTGATCTGGCTTAAGCAGCAATTCTGAATGAAAATGCATTCGTCATAAAGAAAATGAAATACTATGTTTACTGTTTATTAACTTTCATTAGCTGTGTCTACACGTTTGTAAACCTAGCTACAGATAACAGTAATACTCGATTATGACGAGTACTTGCTTAGGCACCGCCATTCTGCAGTGCTTCTGACTCGTAAGCCTCTTGCTCGGCCTGCTCGTCGTCGAATTCGACATCGTCGTCGGCGGTTGCTTCCTAGAAGGAGGAGAAGCATATAAATTATATGCATTAGCCGTGGGAAATGACGTGGGTGAAGCTGAGTGTGTCGCACCTGGTATTGCTGATACTCGGATATCAGATCGTTCATGTTGCTCTCCGCCTCGGTGAACTCCATTTCGTCCATACCCTCGCCAGTGTACCAATGCAGGAAGGCTTTGCGGCGGAACATGGCCGTAAACTGTTCGGAGATGCGCTTGAAGATCTCCTGAATAGCTGTCGTATTGCCAATGAATGTGGCTGCCATCTTGAGCCCGCGTGGCGGAATGTCACAGACGGCCACCTTCACATTGTTGGGTATCCATTCGACGAAGTAGCTGCTGTTCTTGCTCTGCACGTTGAGCATTTGTGTGTCCACCTCCTTCATGGACATGGGTCCTGTTAATTATTAAGAGTGCAGAGTAAAAATACTTGAACTCTGGTGGCAGCATTTTTTCCGCTTTCTTTCACATCAAAAACCAAGTTGGCTTTGATGCGTCAAGTAAATCCCCAAATCCCTGAATATGAAATACTAAACGGCTTCTAAGCCCTGCCAGCGCACTTGGCCACCTGGGCAATGCTTGTGCTTCTGCCGCTGTCTGCACTCTTAGGCGCTGCTCTAGTGGGTGTAGGCGGTGGACACCAATAGAAACAGTCCCATGAGGCAACTAAAAAAGCTGTTTAAATTCTTGTTGCTTGTTTTTTTTTTACGCTTTCTTGTTTATTTTTTATATTTTAGCTGACGCTCATTTTTGTGATTAATTATTTTGTAAGCGCAGACAAACGAACGCGGGAGCGTGGAGGAACAAGTTGTGCGACAGGCACTGCCGCTGCTGCCTTAAGTCACGTTCAGCATGATTAGTTAAGGCCCAAAAGCCGTGTCAGGCAGCGGTCGCGGGACTGGGACTGCGACATGGACAGAGACGGGGATTGGGATTGGGACTAGAGCCGAGACTCGCAATTCCCCAATGGATCTTGAAAGTAAATTTCTAATTACGCGCGTTTTGCGAGTCATCAGTCAAAGGCAAAATGCGTGTGGGCAGGGGCGTTCGAGCGTTCGGCCGTTAGGCACACAAGGAATAACAAATGAAATATTATGCGGCATACTTTCGGGCGCCGCAGCGCAGCAGTTTATTAATTTAAAAATTAGCGCGAAAAAATGCGACCTCCTGCTCCTGCCTCGTCAGAGACATCCACCAGAAGCAGGGGGCACAGTCAGGGGCAAGAGCGACAAACAAATTTGCGCTACGTGCGCGCTGACGGATTGCAGCCTTTTTAGCCGCCTGTCGACGTGCATTAATCATTTTTAGTGGCACCCATAAGTAGGCTTTGCGTTTGCTAATAAAATTGTCGCCGTCGCAGCGGCGAGCTACGTGACTACGGCTGATGCCTACGCAGCGCCCAGGTGCGCCAGCCGCTGCCCATGACAAAGCGACAAAGTTGGACGGGCCTAAGCTGCGTTTGCGGCGCTACGGACGCTTCAGCCTAAACCACACAGACAGCAACACTGGCAACATGGCCATATCCGCGCTTGTAGCTGTTGTTAAAAAACTATTTTTCTCTGTTGGAATGTGGGTGCGGCCACCTTTCACGTGAGCTCCGCGGATGTCAAAGAGCACGTGGCGCCTTGTCGAGTCATGTCAACGACACCCAAAAGTCAACCCCTAATCGTGTCCATTTATCAGGGAAAAGGTCACAACACTCACCACGGAAGATGCAGGCGACGGTTAGGTAACGGCCATGCCGGGGATCGCAGGCGGTCATCATATTCTTGGCATCGAACATTTGTTGCGTGAGCTCGGCAACAGTGAGAGCGCGATATTGCTGCGAGCCCTTGGCTGTGAGCGGCGCAAAGCCGGGCATGAAGAAGTGAAGGCGCGGGAAGGGCACCATGTTCACTGCCAGCTTGCGCAGATCAGCGTTCAGCTGGCCGGGGAAGCGCAGGCAGGTGGTCACGCCAGACATTGTGATCTAGATGCGAAAGAGATCCTTATCAGAAACTGCTGAAGCAAATAGATGAGTTGTGTCGTTTGTTATTCCTGAAATTTGGCTTTGAGTCGTTGCTGCATCCTTTGCTATTTACTTACAGACACCAAATGATTGAGATCCGAGTAGGTTGGTGAGCCAAGGCGTAAGGTTTGATAGCAAATGTCATACAAGGCCTCATTGTCAATGCAGAACGTCTCATCTGTGTTTACGCACAGCTCGTGCACCGACAGAGTCGCATTATATGGCTCAACGACCACCTCCGACACCTGGATGCCAGCAACAACGTTGATGTGGACGTGGACAACGGGTATGTGGTGGGTACAGTGTATGGATGGATTGCGAACACAAAACCGAAACACACATTAGTTAATCTGTTGTGGGAAATTCACTTACGGAAACCAGATGATTCAAATCGCCATAAGTGGGCGAGGAGAGCTTCAGCGTGCGGAAGCAGATGTCATAAAGCGCCTCGTTGTCAATGCAGAACGTCTCATCCGTATTCTCCACCAGCTGGTGTATGGAGAGCGTTGCATTGTACGGCTCCACGACGGTATCGGATACCTAAATGACAAGAGCGAACAACGGCAAACGGCAGCGGCAGGTGACGGCATGCAAGAAAGAAAGCAAATACATATATTTATATTAATCGGCAGAGTTAAGAGTTAATCGAAACACAATTTGATGGCTGTTTAATATTTAATGAATTCGCTTATAAACTAAATATAGACAAAAACAAAAATAAAATGAATGCATACAGAAGTGTAATTCAAATCAACTCAAACCCTGCGTGCAACCTTCCATTAGCTAAACGGAACAGTTTTTATTTTGACACTTCATGGAGATATGACCAGGGGTATATTGATTATTAGAGTAGGTGATTAGAGTTAAGTATACTGCGGTCTGCTGGGCAGAGAATTTGCCTTCATAAAGATAACATAGACAGGTGTTGAATCAATTTTTTCTAGCTCAAATACTCCGTCTAGCCTGAGCTGAAAGAGTCCTATATACTATGATGTTTCTTCGGTATTTATTGAGAGTTTTGTCTTTTTTTTTCATTCACTGCAATATGCTATTTTAAGCCCATTATGATACCATTAAGCGATTAAAAAAAAAAAGACAATTTTTGATTTTTCTCTTCTTTCTAAGTATTAAGGCTTCGATACCTGGCCAGCTCGGTATCATTTATAATATAATAATAATAATAAATGTTTTAAATAAATAAATTTAAATTTAAATTTTACAATTTATAAATAAATGTTTTTTATAAATATTAAACTACTTTGAAACTTAAAACTCAGATTTTCCACAGTTGCAAAAGCTTTAAACAGTTGAATTATATAAATATATAAAGATATATAACGAATCTTTTCTAAGCCTTCATATTAATTGTCATGGGAGCATTCAGTTGCTTCTGCATTAAACTTCATCAATTTATTGGCAATTTCTGCACATCAATTAGACAAATAAACTTCGGCTTTAATTTTCAAAAAGCAAACCATTGCGTTATATGATATTTGTGGAATTTAACTAATTTAATTAAGCTTCACTGTCAACAGAAAATGAACAAGTTTCGTCCATTGAAATGAAAGCAGAAATTAGAAATTTCATATTATTCTCTAAAATGGGTTTGTACAATTCTGCATTGCTTTGAAATGCATCAATTGAAGTACACGAAAATTGCATTTCAAACAATAGATGCATGCAATACGCCATAACTAAATGGAAACGGATGGGGAAAACGTGCTGCTTCTAAAGGACGTACACCTGCTGCAGTCCCAAGCCAAGTGTTGCCAAGCTGACGGGCATGCAGCCCGTGTGTGTGTGTGTGTGTGTGCTCAAGCTTGCAGCAACTGAAAATTATGTGTAATACTTTGGCTAGGCCTATATTTGCTTTGGCAAGATGTATTGCACTGCCTGTCTCGAGCCAGTTGCTGTTTGAACAATGCAAAATGTTTGCTCATAAATCCTTGCAATTATTTAATGGCGCCGACACAGGCAATAACGAACGGTCACCTGGACTACAGATACTACATGAATCTAATTATAATGAGTTATGCATGGCCCCAACTATTGTTACTGCAGTTCTGTTTGCAAACTGCTCAGACAAAATATTTGCAATGTTCGAAATCCGAAAAGGATTTTATATCTGGCTGCTCTGCTGCATGGCATTAATGAGCCCAATTAAATGGGTTTATTTAATGCGCTTATTAATAAAGCCCCGGTTTCATTTTAAAGCTGATGTGTGTAAAACAAAAACCAACAAAAATTCGACTATTACAATCGACGAGTAAATCGCATAAATTTGATATACGTATTAAGTGACAGGCGCGTGGCAGGTCCTGGCCACAACAAAATGGCCGCCAATGCCAAAACATTGCGGTAATTCGCCTGGCCGAGCACATAAATATCAACCGCTAGATGGGGGCTTCGGGCCTAGAGGCTGGGCCTTGGTCGAAAGGGCTGAACTGACCCAATCCCAATGCAAAGTGCGACTTTGTAGCTTGTTCTTTGCCGCTCAAGCATGACGGTAATAAATTAAACAGAACAAAATATATGTTTCAGCTAATCTGCATATGGGCTCTGTGCGTGCTCAAATAAAAATGTCCAGAGAAAGAGCATGATATATATATTGGTTTAAGCAGTTTGTCGAATGCTAATTTCACGCATCAATGAGTCTTCTTTTCTGCTTGCCTTTAAACTTATGTGTCAAGTTAGGGGCATTCCACCAAGGTTAAATATCATGTAAATATCTTTAATTGCATTTTAGACATTTGTTTTTTCAAGCTGTGAATGCGTCCATTAGAGCAGTGAGATGTAAAATATAGGTAAATATAAAGCTGAATTGGCCGCATTATTGAAGCACGAATCATGCCAAATAGAAGTTCAATAGAAACTGGTTTTAGCAAGTTGGACTTGAGTTCAGATAGCAAAGGTTTAAGAGACCTGAACTTAAGTGTTATGCATTAAGTGCTAACAACTACTTCAAAGACTGGAAGATGAAAAGTGAACTCACTATGGTGACCCAAAGCGAAGAGCTAATATTCTAATCATTCTACACTTTTTTCAAGCGCGCATAGCAAACATCGTAAGCACACGCTCTGCACTATATTATTGGAGCTTAATTGTTGAATAACTCTTCTGCTAGAGGGAATATCTTAATCAATTTTCCAAATATCCAAATATCTCTGTAGTTATTACAAAGGAATTAAGGTACTCGAAGGGCCAAATTGAATACAAATGTCATTAGCTAATGCTGTGCTTAGCTCGGAGTGATCTACTATGAGCTGAAGTTCCCTAACTAATACTAATGTCCATTGCAGTCTTGTGGCTGTTGCTGGCACAAAAAATGGTTAGCTAAAGTCTTTAAATACTGTTTGAGAAATTTAATTTAAAATACAAAATGTATGAAAATTTTGCACAGAACATTAGCTCTACAGTTTTTTACTTGAATTTTAATGCCAAAATTAATCAATTTGATAAAAGAAGGGCATTCATTATAATAGCCCGATGTGCTGTTGGCTCTGCGCCGCCTGTTATTGACAATCAATTAGCCACTAAATTAATTAAATTAAATGTCGAAATGTAATTAAATGCTCATGATGATTATAATGCAAATGAAGGTGTCTCACGTGCAGCGAGAGCTGGGCGTGCGTGTAAAATATGCAACTAGGTTAATTAAGCAATAATTGAAGCGTGTCAGAATTCAGCCATTGAGGAACCAACCCATGGAGTACCGACATATCACCTATGGAGCACTCTTCCTTCCATGAAGGCCAACCGAATTGCATTTCAACTATCACATTGTCAATTAGCCGCAGGTCGTTGGCGGTTCTAAATTCGTCGGCAAATTAATTAATATTATTTGGCAGCTCCAAATGCCGTGGGCAATAAATGACATCAATTGAAATTGGCACAGAGGGGGCCGACACGAAATAACACTCGATATTATGCAAATTGCACTTTGAAGCTGCCTTTTGTATGCCCTACTTGAAAAATCTATAAGAAGCCAACTTGCGACTATCTCCAATAAGAAAAGCCTAAGTCTCTTAGTCAGATCTACTTGAAGCTGGCTGGGATTAACGTGCAATTTGAAGGGCATTCCATCGCTAACAAGGGAAATATAAATATAATATAATATATGAATGTGATATATGAATGTGAAAGAATATGAATCTAACAAGAGTTAGGTCTGGGAACATGCGTTGCATGTAAACAAGAGATTTGGTTAGGATTCGGGTCAGGCCAAATTTGGTTGGATCATTTTGGATATTTGACAAAAACGCGTGCAGGTGTAAAGCATTTGGGGTTTGCAGGTTGGCATTAGAGACGCCGCTAGCGCAATGAGCACACGCTAAGCTGATTAGCCTAAGCGGATTGCCCTGGCCAAAATCATGGGAGTCGGCTGTGCGTGGGAATAGGATGACATAGCAATGGCAGTTGTACACTTACCTTGGGTGAGGGCACCACCGAGAAGGAGTTCATGATGCGATCCGGATATTCCTCGCGTACTTTCGAAATGAGCAGAGTGCCTAGACCAGAGCCAGTGCCGCCGCCAAGTGAATGCGCCAACTGGAAGCCTTGCAGGCAGTCGCAGCCCTCGGACTCCTTACGCATCACTTCCAGCACCGAATCGATCAGCTCGGCGCCCTCTGTGTAGTGGCCTTTAGCCCAGTTGTTGCCTATGCAAAGGAGATAAATAGATGAATACATAAAGACAGGTTCATTTACAATAATATATTTATCTAATCAGGCACACACACATATACACACACAGTTAATAAAACACATGCACAACAATGACAGCATTAACAACAACACGTTGTGATGAGTGACATGCACAAAATTAATTTTCATCGTCATCCGCAGGCTATTTTATAATTGCAATTATCATCAACAATCCGGACAGCCATGTCTCCAGCAGCAACAGCAACAGCGGCAATTAACGAAACAACAACACCGTTGAAAAGCACGGTGGTGCAGCCACCTCTCTAGTTGCAACGCTATCCAAAGACCATAGATGGCCCACTGCTGTTGCTTATCAGGACTGCTTACAGCAAGGACGACCAATTTCAGCAATTTCATCAACGTCATTTTGTTTGTACTTAGCAAAGCAATGACAACAGCACATGCTATGCCTTTGCTGCTTGTTGCTGCTGCTGCAGCTGGAACAACTGTTGCCAGAGACATGCTCGCTGATGAGGGCCACCAAACTGACAAACAGGACAAACTGCCGATCAGCTGCGGGCGAATTTGGCAACAAGGCAGCATTAATGAGCAGCTAAAATGCATTAGCTGAACGCTGTTCGACCCTGAAGAGGAAAGGTAATTGATGAACGATGCAATTGCCGAGAGGCGAACGCAAGGACAGGTCTTAAGTGTTGCTTTGTGCCTGAATTAGATACAGTGCTCGATATACTCTGTCACTTTAAGCACTTACCTGCTCCAGACTGTCCGAAAACAAAGTTGTCGGGCCTGAACAGTTGTCCCATGGTTGATTGGCGCACCGAGTCCATGGTGCCCGGCTCCAGATCAATGAGCACAGCGCGGGGCACATACTTGCCGCTGGACGCCTCATTGTAGTAGACATCGATGCGTTCGTGCTGCAGATCCGATTCGCCATGATAGTAGCCATTGGGATCAATGCCATGTTCCGCTGAGATGATTTCCCAGAACTAAAATGATAATAATAAATAATGCTATTAAATATTTTGTATTAATTAATTTGAAACTTAATTCAATCATTGCAATACGAATAGGAAACAAATATTGCGCTCTTTCTGTCCTCCGACTCATCTCATAGTTCTCCATCAGACGAATTTTAATTAAAGCATTCAAAAGATATTTCAGTGAATAAAGTAATCTAGATGCTGTACGCTCGTACATCATGATATTACGTTCTATGCTATGAGAAATGATGCAAGACTCGTTCATTTTTTGGTTACAGTTTACTGCATGGCGCAGAAATATTATTTTTCAATCAATATATCGTATCGGTTCGCATGTGTCAGCAAATAGTGTGTGTGGCTTCGTATATGTGCCTGTGCCTGCGCCTGTGCGTGTGCGTGTGTTTGTGTTGCATTGCTTTGGCAATCAGTGCATATAAATATGAGTGTTCTTTTTACATGCCGCTTGCTTTTATGGCCAATAGCAGCGCCAACATCGTCGTCGTCGTCAGCGTTCTGGTATCTATCTGTTTGCGATTTATGCGCGTGCATATGCTATAGCGTCCACGCCACCATCACCCAGCCAGCCAGCACAACCACTCGCCCGCTGCCTTCTGCAGCACTTTATATGCCGTGAGCAATTTCTGTTGCATACTTTTATGGGCGCGCACTTTTTGCAGGCAGAGGAGCGAGCTTCGTGTTATTTTTTGTTGTGTAACGAGGGGGAATAATTGAATCCTTTTAGGTGTTTTCATATATATTTATTTATTTTTGCCTCTTTCTATGGTTCGAGTGTTTCAGCGATTTTGCTGTTTTACCTCTGCACTCTCCATTAGCCTCGCCCTCCCTCTCTCTCCCTTTCCCTCTTTTTTTGGCCCACTATCCTTAACCTTTCTACTCAAACCGCTTTTACATCGTATTTATTCGCACGTATATTTTTCTTGCGTGCGATTCAACTTTTTATTTTTATTTTTCTTTTACTTTTTCTGCTTTGCTTTGGTTTTATTGCCCAATACGCTTCGTAAAACATTTCACGTTTGTTGCGCATATGAATTTCAAATGTTTAAAAATGTTTCAATCGCTTCGCCTTTGTTAGTCAGGTGTATGTGTGTATGTGTGTGCATGTGGGTGGGTATGGCTGTGTGGGGTTGTGTGTGGCCTGTTGTGAGTGTGCATGGGCCGGCGGCGGCTGACAGAAGCTGGAGTGGATGCCAAAATGCTAATTGTGAGAAAATCGCAATGTGCGCTGCACGCCACTGCCATCGATCGGAATGATTTTTAATAGACTTAAGCCCCAAAGGACATGAATTAATTTATTTTACTCGGCATCTCATATTATTTTGGACTGCCAACGTTTCGTAGTTGGTTTCGAGCAGGGCATGCCTTCGAGCAGACTAAGAACTAGCCATCCAGCCGACTCTCAACTGTTTTCATAATTAACGGACGCGGTTAATATTAATGAAGTCGATAACGGCAATTATGCTTTCATCTTCGCTTATATTTTTATATTTTTCAGTATTGACAGGCACAAAACTTTCCACATACTTCTAGCACTTGACATCTGAAGAGCTAAGACAACATTATTTGTTTTATTGTTTGTATGTCCTTGAACTTTTCTAGGTGCCTGGCGAGCGCTTAAATATCCTTAAGTAATTCACAAAACTTCGATTTTCTAACGAGGTCTCTGGCGCTCTGGCAGTGTATGCCTCATTAGCGCAGACAAGCAAACACTGAACTGCTCTCTTTGTAAAGTCCATAAATATATACAGATAAATATAAGACAGAGTCATCTGTATGAAGTAATATCTCTAATGACATGAATTATGCGGAAATGTTTATTGTAAATAATGAATATAAACAAAACTGAAACTGTTCAACTGTTTTCTAGGAACATCCATATTTATACACTGAAACATTGGCAATGGGAATTCTGGGCATAAGGCTTTTGTGAAAATGTATGTAACAGGTAGAAAGAGGCATGCCAGACCCTATAAAGTATATATATTCTGGATCAAGGTAACGAGTTACAGAATCTTGAGAAATGAAAGCTCGTCTATATGCTGTACGAGTTTATACTTATTTATTTCGATAACTCGTCTTATTTTCGGATAATCGATCAAAATCGATAACCTTTGTTTTTTGAGCGTAGCTAGAATACAGACAAAGTGGGAGGCTGCTAAATAAATACATAAGAAATTAATGTACCCAGGAATACAGTATATTCCATTGATAGGATATATGTATATACACGCTTAAGTCGTGACTCCTTTATATGCTATATATACATATATACCGTTGCATATATAGCGACAATTTGAGTACACTCGTATTTCTTAGTGCGTAGAACTTCTGCTTGTGTCCATAGGTAAAAGTTGAAGTGCTTTAAGCATGTTGAATAAAATCGGATAACCATTGATTGCAAGCACAAACTCACACACACATACACACACACGCACACACACTGTGTGTGCATTGCTTTTAGCTTGGCGCGCATGTTACAGGTTTTGTTGTTGCTGTTGTTATGTTAATCCCGGCGCAGCATAAATGTTTGCATTACTGTTAGCTGTTGTTGGCAAAGTTTTATTTCTCCATTGGCTTTTAGACGCGCAACAATGATAACAACTTGCATGGCCAAAAATAAGAGAAAAAACCTTCGAAAAAGTTGTGTGCCAAATTTTCCATTGCATAAAGTTGGACCTCATATGAGAAATAGCTGAATGGGGCCTGGCGTTGCCTTTGCCTTTAGCTTTGCATATATAAGAAACTGGAAATATGACACTCAATTGTACGCATCGGTAGACACTTTTGGCCTGACAATAACTTTGATTTGCATACGCTTTTGCTGGTATTTGTTTGTTTGGCTGTTGGCTGTTGGTTGTTGGCTGTGTGGGCTTGTATATCTGTGTGTGTGTGTGCTTTTAGCTACCCGCATGGGAGACAACTAGTTGACTGACTTTGTCCTGCTGCTGTTGTTGCCCTGGCACTTGTTGCCTGTGGGGAAATTTAAATATGTTTTCGTATATTTTACGAAGCCAATTGCAGATAAGCGTTTTTCTTTTCGACTACTTTTGAGCTGTTTGTTTGCTCTTGGCATTGAGTGCTGAGCTGCTTGCAAAAGGGTGCCATGCTTTGTATTCCCTTGCTAACGGGTATCACCAATCTGATGCACACGAAGTAACGCACTCAGGCTGAGTCTTATTTGTGATGAGACTCATATCACTCGTCACTCGTCACGCGGTTATTTCAAGCAGCATATGTAAATTGCCACTTTCTATGCGATTCTCATGATATTACTTCCCTTGCCTCTTTCCACTCCTCCATTTCTTTATACAATATTTTGGTTGCATTTTTTGGTCCGTCTTGAACTTGATTCAAGGGTATCTGCATGCCATGTTGTCTTAGCTAGACTGCTCTGGTTTTTTGCTATTTCATGCTTTTGTATAAAAAGCTTATTATATATGTATATTGTGAAAAGTTTTACCCTGTTGTAAGTGACGGGCGCAAAATGTTGCTGAACTGTCCAACTGCCCGTTTAACGTTCCGTTGATATCGACTCATGCTTTTGGCATGCCTGTCTCCGCCTTTGAGGTGGGTCTGATAAAGTGGTCTTAAATACTGCCTTTAGCCTCAACCGAAATGAAAAAATCAATTACGCTGCCTTCATTTGCGTGAAACTTTTGCTAGCTGAGGTCAAATTGCTTAATTACAAAATTGCGCACAAGCTAAAAAACTAAAGAGAACTTAAAAACCAAAAAAAGAAAGGAGAACGACGAATGATTAAATTAAAAGTAAACAAAAGGCAACGTGCGTTGACCAAAGCGGCGCCATTTTGCCAGCCATTTGTGGCGCCGTCTTTTTATGGGGGCCATTGCTAGACTCCCAAAAGAAATTCAATTCAAAATTAAAATTCTCAAAGCGTTCAAATAAAACCCCGAAAATACGGCGGACCGAGCAGCCAAGCAAAAGTCAAGTGGCAAAGCTGGTTAAAGAAAAAACGAGCATAAATTAATTGCGGCCAGCAAAGAAATGTGCGCTGCAGTTTGCGCTTTGTTCCTAAGACAAAAGGACATTTTAGTTTGCGTTCGCCGAAGCTGGCAAAGGCTGCGAGAGCTGCGCAAAGCAGCGGAAGTGCATGTCGCACCGGATGTGCCAGCGAGTGCGCCCTGGGATATCATTGCGAGGGGTCTTCGGAGATGCGTCTAGCTTTCCAGTTCCACAAATTGCTCGGCAACTGCGTTTGAATATTGAATTTGACGTTTTCGCTCGCGGCGCATGGCGCATTTCGTATCGAGCCCGGCGCACGGCGCACGCATAAATAAACAATTGCAATGGCAATAAATCATAGTCGAGATAGCTTAAGATATTCCAATAGACACACAAGTTTATTTCAATTCACTTGGATCCTAAGCCAAGTGCTCTTTAATTCTCTCAATGCTTAGTTTTCCAGCAGGCCGCCAAATGTTATTTAATTGAAGTGCACGCTTTACTGTGCACGGCATGTGTACATTTGTTGAAATTCAATTAAAATAAATAATTGAATTAATAATGTACATAAAATAGGTAAATTTACATTAACAATGTGCGCGTATGTGTTTGCACTCGCATGAATAAAAAACGTTATTTCTAATTAAAATTCCATTCTGTGGCAAAAGCGATAAAACACGATTATTGAGACACTTCTATTGTAGCAAAATCATTTAAAAATTGCCATTTTAGAAATAGTTTTTGCTCTAAATGTTTCACTATAAATATCTACCTATAATTATGCATTGTGTTCTATATTGAACAAAAATGCATGTACATGTAAATTGTTAACTATCCATTAGTTATATGAGGTACAAAAGACTGGCAGGCAGTCCTTAATGCCTCCCCATTTATTTTATTAAAAATGTCTTAAAAACTAAATTCTATCTTTGAGCTGTTCACAAGGAGTTTGTTAGTCCCCTACACTACCACCTACGAATGTGCCACCATAGAATTTAATCACTGGACTCGATGACAGAGATGAT